GCACTAAGGCAGAAATCTTAGCCGCACAGATGCAGAAGGCTGTCATTCTTGGCTCACTGCGTTTGCTCAGGGCACATGATTCTCGGACCCAATGATCACTTACCCCACGGTGTGGGGAGTGGTCATTGGTTGATTATGCTGGCGCGCCCTCCCGAATGTATCGGGGCTTCGGGGGATAGGGCCTGACCAGCGCACACTACGGTGAAAAAAAAATAAAAAATAATAATAATAATAATAATCGTCTTTATTATTTTCAAAAAATATGTAAAAAAATAAGATTGATGAAATACACCAACAGAAAATTTTTGAAAATGAAGGACGAAGTTCAGTTCAGTTCCTGAATAAATTCAACAACTGAACTGTTCTTCCACTTAACCCTAAAAAATACCTCTCTATTGAATTTCCTTTAAATAATACAAAAACAAAGGAAAAATATACAAATGTGTCCACACTACAGCAAGTAAGTTTACAGAAGTAGGACTAAATAGATTATAATTGAATTTTTGGAACCCAGCTATACCTAATTTGAGGGGAAGATCATTCATCACATGGCATATTTGATAACTGAAACACCTGCGGAAAAATTCAGTTTCAAAAGAAGTAAGTGTTCCTCCTCCGTTATGTACATCCGTTCGAAAAGACATTTTTCTATTAAGATAAGCAGGCTTTCTGGTAAGAATAATTTTATAGAATAGGTTGGCGGCGAACAAGATTCTTCTGTTATTCATATTTAACCGAGATGTGAACTGGCCACCAAGATCGTGAGATTTGACTCCGTTAGACTTTTTCTAGTGAGGTTTTCTTAATTCGCAGGTGTACGCGAATAAGCCCCAGCTCACAGCGGTTCTCAAAGCCAACATGACCCATGCCAACGATCAAATACAGCCTGTTTTATGAGCCACAGTAATGGAAAAATGTTCGTTTTCGATTTTTTTTTAAACAGATGCGCTCCATCCAGAAAAGCCGACAGATAGCGGACATTTGAACATAATTGAAATTTTATTATTCGTTCTTTCGAACGAATACAAAACTTCGGTGCTATCTGGCACACATTTGGTTTTATTCAAATTCAAAAATAGGAAGCGATTATGAAAGACCAACATTTTTTTCAGGTCTTTCCTCAGAGCACATATACATCTATGGGTATTGTAATGACGATAGCTGCAAGAGGATATGTTTTGTGGTGTATCAATGTCATATTGGCCATTGTACTAATCGTTCTAGTACGACAGATGAAAAAAATGGTAAGTATACCTAAATCTAATCTTCCTAATAATATAAGTAATGGTGCCATATACTTTCTTTCAAGTAAAACAACGGAAGAGATGCATAACCTTGTGAACTCAGTCCAACACGAATTTGATGACTGGTGTTACAGGGATAGACTTATAGTTAACCTGAGAAAAATTGTGTGCATGGAATTTGCAAATTCATCTCGAAGCCTAGATGATTTCAGTTTCATTTTCCGGAATGAATCCTTGGCATTAACAAGCTCAACAAAATTATTAGGAACAATAATGGACTCATATTTTACTTGGCAAGGACATATAGAGATCACATCCAAGAAATTGAATCAATCCTATTATCTCATTAAATTCCTTAAGAATAAATTAGATACTGAAGCACTGATATCAGTTTATTTCGCCAAGTTACATTCCATTATTTACAACAACATTGGTGCCTGGGGTTTAGCAACGGAGGTGAACAGAATTTTCATAAAACAGAAAGCATTACTGAGGCTAATTTTCAATCTAGATTACAGAACGTCATGTAAAGTATAAAACACTGCCACCTCAAGTTTTTAAAAACAGTTGAAAGTGTTACTGCAACAGTAATTTTTTACATATTTGAAAATCCATAGCCGCTTCCCCCACAGATGAAAAGGTATATATTATATAACATTTTTTTCTTCTTATCATCTAAGCTTTGCAACCTAATATGTCTCAATGACGCTCGAGTAAATCCCCATTCTGCAACGTGGGCTCCCCTGCTATTAAAATAAATTTCAATGACATACAAGTAACGTATATTTTAGATGTTAAATAATGATATTCTTGTAGAATCGACCAACGCTGTTGCCGCCAATTGATGCATTTGACACAAGGTGAGTTGCTCCACATACGAGGTATGTTCAAAAATTATTAATTTGTTAATTTCTATTTTTTCTAATTCAAAATAGTCCGCTCAAGATATAATACACTTTTGTCAGCATTTTTTTAATCCTCAAAGCGGTTCTGATATGCACTTCTTGATATGTCTTGAGGCTTCTTGATCTTCTATGGAAAGCTTGTACCGATAGCAGAACCATAAATAGGCCACGCTCACGAAAAGCCCCTCTAAGAACAGCTTATCGAAGAAAACTTCAACATGATTGAACGGTGAAAAGAAGAGTGGGAGAAGAAGGACATACCTGCTAACCGGAATATGCCATGCGTTACAAACAAGCCATAGGGTTTTGATCAACCAAGAGAATTTGGACAACGGTCAATAGAATAAGGACGAATTTTGGTAGATGCTCCGGCTCACTTTTCAGGTGGGGAAAAATCCCTTTTCCAAATTGTTTCTGCGGCGCTGAAAGACAGACTATTGAGCACCTGATAGAGGGTTGTAGAGTTAATGCCTACAGTGGCAACCCATCCGATTTCCTGATTGCGACAAGAGATTCAATAGAATACAGGGTGTAACTGAATTAGTGTAAAATATTTAAGGAGGTGTTTCCTCATCGAAAAAAAGATAGGATCTTTCGTATAAAGAAACTTCATTGGAGTATCCCTTGTTAAGACACAGCCCCTGAAAGGGGGTACATAAAATTTGTATAACAATTTTTTTCACGAGCACTGAGAAAGTTACAATATTGAAATCAACCTGATGTTTTGTACTACCAAAAAGACACTTAGCCAGTAATTTATTTGGTTTACCCCATAGTTGTAAGGGGTGGAAAACGCAACCTCTAAAATTTATTTCCAATGTAACTTTTTGTCTTATTATTTGTTTACCATTTAAAAATTTATTTCCGATAGCCTGTTTCATTCTAAAGAAAAAAATGTCTCTTGGGTTTTTTGCCCAAAATAAACCAGTTCGCAGCAAAAAATTATTTTACGAACAACTACAGAGATACATCGTCATAAATGCGAACTGGATCTATTGTTATTTTGTAATAAACGATTAAAGGATAATAATCAAAACTAATTTATTAATAACAAAACACACAACATGTAGAAATCATAGTAAATGTTCAATATGTCTACCTTCAGACGTCTAGACGTCGGCGAATTGAGCCACATATTCGCTCAAATATTCCTGGAGTCTCTCTGATTACCCTGCACGCATCGATCATACGGTTTCTACATCGCGAAAAGGAGTACGATAAACCAAGTGCTGTAAATGGCCCCAAATAGAGAAATCGAAAGGATTGAGATCTGGAAATCGAGCGGGCCAGTTCTGTGGTCCTCCTCGACCTATCCACTGATAAATTTTCGTTATGCGGACACCCAGCGATTTTGAAAAAAATGTTTGAGTGTACTTACGTATTTTGATGCGTAGATTACGAATCCGAAAGAAAAAAGCGGCGCTCTTCCTTATTTAAAAAGTTACGGCCCTTCAAATTTCAGAAACTATTTAAAAAACACATGCATTTATTCACTAGGTCACCTTTACACCTTATTCGTCCTTCTTTAACACTTTTCACTTCAATAATCAACATTTTTCTTATAAAAATGTTAAAAAATGTACGGAGCTGCTTTTTGGTTACATATCACTGTATTTTACGTTTTTAAGGTTAATGATATGGTTGGTACGACTGATGCAGTTCATATTTTTTGGTAGTACAAAACGTCAGGTTAATTTTAATATTGTAACTTCATTAGTGCTTGTGAAAAAAACTGTTATACAAATTTTATGTACCCCTTCAAGGGGCTGTATCTTAACAAGGGATGCTCCAATGAAATTTCTTTATATGAGAGATCCTATCTTTTTTTCGATGAGGAATCACTTCCTTGAATGTTTTACACTTATTTAGTTACACCCTGTATATTCGTAACCTTAGTGTTTGTTTGTGAAACATTTGTTTGTGACCCATCCTCCCGAGGAGTTGTCCTCCTAGATCATCGTCCATCCTGTCCTTTCCAGATATGTGGACAGGTCACTGGGAGACATCTCCTTTATATCGGCAGGTGTAGGCCAAGACTTGCCGAACAGACACTCTCTTATTGACGATAACTCCGGACACTCGCACAGGACATGCCTGACAGTTTCATCTTCCTGTTCACACATCCTGCATAGATGTGTGTCCTCTAGTATCATATTGTGGAGGTGTTTCCTTAGTTGACAGTGGTCAGTCAGAAGTCCTACTGTTAAGCGTAAATTTTTCCTGGTCATCGCCAGATATTTCTTCGGCGCCAGCTTCTCAGTGTCGCCCAGGGTGATCCTGGCAAGAGTGCATCCTTTGATACCATTCCATCTCTCTAGGGATTGAGCATGGCTGTTTCTTGATTCACTTCTTTTTGTCAAGTTTTCGCATTGGGAGAATATTTATGCGTATTTTCTTGTAAATCGGCATTTTTCAAGCTGTGAAGCTGTTGTTGTAAATTATCCCCTGAAAAAAATAACGCCGTCCGCCGCTGGTCATCGTCGATCGACTGTTGATTGGCCAAGGTCGCGCTCAACTCTACTTGCGTTTCTCGATCGTTATCGGCATCGAATCGCTTCGAGAATATTCCTATAGGCTTCCAGAGACTTCCATTACCATATATAAACAATACCAACAAGCAGATCGGAGAAGTCTAGTTGAAAGTGCGGTATAAAGTGAGCTAATAAGGCGATAGATATCCGAGTATTAGTCTGAAGTTCAGTTAAAGTTTGTGTGTTGTATTGGCAGTACAGTAGTGGAATAGAGTTGAGTTTAATTGTACAGTGTGGTCAATTACTGTCGAATCCATGGGAAAAACGTAATACTATTTCAATTCCTCAGTCACTAATGAATGGAATATTTCCCTTTGTGAAAAAAACTTTGAATTTACTCAGTAACTTATCGAGGTGACCTGAAAAGTATGCCGTTTCTACGCCATTTACTTTTTCATACTCTGGAGATGAAAAACAAAGCTATTATCATTGTGATTCGATACAAGAATGCATTGAACTTGTATGAAATTATTTGTTCCAGAACTCGTCCCTTCACTCTATACGACCAGACAGATATTGGAACAGGGCACGACAATAACGGATTCACTGTTGATGACAATATAATTTTCAGTCCGAAACGAACCGTGGTTCCCACAGTGGAGAACATCTCGAGGAATCCCCTGAGTAACAGCAACAGAAGCAGTATCAATGACTCCCAACCGTACATCTTCAGCACACCCAGGCCTATCGAAATCGCCAGACCGTTCAGGAATGATCCTACTCCCATGACGAAACTGGCCAAAATTGGTAAATCCGGTAGAGGGCGTCGTACACCCCCTCAAAGTGTCCCATCGCCAGTACCGCCCAGTAATGTTCCGTACATTCCTGATCCTGACTATACCCCTCCGATTAGTCCCGAACCTCAAACGAAATCGGTTTTGAAACCGAGAAGCAAATATGTTTTTTAGACAATTTTAGATAGAATTAAGTCTCATGCAATATTTTTTTATCGATATTTTAATCGTATTTATGATTTATCAGTGTCATTAAGATTTATCGTTGTCGTCATCTCAAGTATTTTGCAGTTTGCCAGTAACTCTCATATTTTAATCGTAACGAAGTAAAAGATATTAGATCCTGTGTGTTTTTTGTTCTTCATCTCAGTAAGATCCTGCTGTAACACAAAATTGGCAAGCAACTTGCCAATTTTGTAAGATTACCACTAGCCAAAGTGAATCAGAATAATGTTATACTGATATTTTTCCATGTGTTTTTTTTTAATTATAGTGAATCAAGTGAAACATCAACAAATATTACTTTAGTTTTTCCCTTTCTAATTAGATATTACAGTGAGGATTTTCTTCTCCTTAAACAGTGGTCTGCAAGAATCTCGTGGTTTTGCTTTACACAGAAAACGTACAGCTCTTTTCTGTATAACTAAAATTGATTGCAGTGAGACCCTGAGAATAACTTTGATTTGGGACTCTTGATATGGTCTTCAAATTTCAAATCACTGTCAAAGGATAGTCCAAGAAATTTGGTTGATGGTTTATTCTCAACAAAGATGTTGTCAATTTGTAAATTGCTGATGGAACATTTGTAGCAAATTACGTTCGTTTTGCTAACATCATGATTTATTACTGTTTTAAGTTCAGAGGGATTTTGATCATGCCATAAAATTGTAGTGTCGTCAGCGAATAGTGTGAACTCTCCTTTGATATCAATAGATGTCAAATCATTTATATACAAAAGAAATAATAGTGGACCTAGGACTGAGCCTTGTGGAACTCCACAGTTCATTTTTCATTCCTCAGAATAATTAGTCGTGTTAACAATTTTTGACTACGCTCAGATAAATAAGATTCAAACCAATTGAGACTTACACCTGTTATACCATACTGTTGTAATTTCCGAAGCAGTGTACCATGACTAACACAGTCAAACGCTTTCGATATGTCACAGAACACAGCAGCTGCAATCTCTCCATCATTTAATTTGTTATATAGACTGTACAATAATGAAAAAATGGCATCATGAGTGTTTTTTCTACTCTGGAATCCAAACTGGCATTTGTTTAATATCTGGTTTCTCTCGAGAAAATCAACTAGTCTTCTCTTGACTAGTTTTTCTATAATCTTCGCAAGTGTTGTTATTAAAGAGATAGGTCGGGAGTTAGAAGAGATGCAAATATCTCCACCTTCATGGAGAGGAATAACAATAGACGTTTTGAGAAAATTTGGAAAAACTCCTTCATTATATGAGGTATTTATTATGTCAACTAGTACTGATAAAGCAATGTCTGGTAGATTATCGAAAATATTCAAGGAGATGTCGTCAATTCCTGAAGTGTGTTTATTTTTCATCTCCCTAAAGACTCCTTTCAATTCTGAGAGGTTTGTGTCATATTGAATAAAATTATCTGCTATACCAATATCAATTAAATTATCAAGTGGATCATACGGAAGTATATTTTCAATTAATTTTTCTCCTATCATGCAAAAATAGTTATTGAAATCGGTGGATGATAATGGAGTGTCCAATATTTGCTATCTACCCTTTCCCTATTGTACGATTTTTAAGAGCTCTGTCACAGTCATTTCTGAGAATTTAGTACTCACGATTCTGGAATTATACTATACACAATTTAAAGAAGATGAAGTTATGTGAAAAAGAGATAAATCGTGTTTTATCTCAAAGGGCTAGTACTAAAGTCATGTTTAAATTATCATGTCCACGTCCACTTCCTCATTTCATGCCAAATCATTTTCATTTTGTCTGTGAAATATAGTTTTTCAGAACTTTCTATCGCCAAGTGGCATTTGGTGGAAATATTTCGAAATTATGTTATAGCTCATCAAATATTTATATATACATCCAAAACAAGCTCCATAGGAAGAAAAGTTAAGATGGTTCTCCCCAAAATAAAGGAAAATGTTTATAGTACGTAATTTAATTGAGATGCATGTAAATTAATGTTTTATGGAATTTTTCAAACTACTTCAAATTTTTGCCAGCATTAAATTTTCCTTAATTTATCATTTTCCTGACGAATTTACAATATTCCAAAAAGAATTTAGTTACTTTGTTTTATTCATCATATAGAAAACTACCAAGCTGAAATTATTCGGGGAGATCAATTACAGACCGACTTCGAGGTATTACCTCCCAGCAATGCAGGAAAGATCCGGCCCAAACATTTTCGATGAGCGAATATCTGGTTTCGATTTGAGAGAAACAAACGCCTTGTAAATTTTCAATAGTCTCAAGGATGTTCCCGCTTCTCTGTGGTATTTTCCCTGTCTAATTTTAAATCTAACATGTAATTTGATGCTTTGAGACAAACATTGACGCAACTTTCTTTTCCATGATTCTCATATTCTTTTTTATTATAAAACGTCCCAAAATAACCAAATAAACACTTCGTATGTAGGTACCGATTCTTGTCACAATAGATGATAAACAACTCAACTGTAATTAAAACCATTCAACAATTTCAATGATTGTACCTAATAGAATTATTCTCGATTTCTACACCATTTTCTGGTCAGCTGATACTCTCCAAATGGAATATAATGACGCTTTTACTTCAAGATGTACCTAATTGATTACGATATAATACCGATAATTTTTTAAATGACAGGCAACTAGAGCGAATCTTGAAACATCATACAGGAGTGTATCTGGCAAAGCTTGAAATATGAAGATAAACAATTAATACCGCAAAACAAAGATTTCATCTTGAATAATTTTTCAATTTGTAGGTAATAATAGTGAAATCTCACGAAAACCTTGCCTGTTCTTATGAAAAATAAGCTACTCCTTGTCAATATATTATATTAAATCAAAGATATAATTTTATGGGACATAGCACTCAATAAAGGGCAAACCAGACACGTGTTTCGGCCTTTTGGATTATCATCAGTATGGCGCAGGCAAGTTCAAGGAAGGGCAGCACTTGGTCGCCAATCAATCAATCAATTAAACATTTATTGAATCAGTTTTCCTTCACAATCACATTAGACAAAAAATAATAACATCATGAAATACTGGCTGACTCAACAGGTCAAACAAACATAAAAAAGTCAATATAAAACATAAAGCATACATATAAAAGTTAATAAGCTACAATCAAAATAGGATTCAAGGAGAAACTCATCCACAGAGTAGTATGCTTTTTGCAATAGAACAGTCTTGAGTCAATGTTTGGTAGATATACAAACTAGGCATTGTTGATAAACTATAACGAATGAATAATGGCCTACAGTGTCCACTTGCGAAGATGCACCAGCCAGAATTCTGATAACCTTTTTCTGAATAACAAAAACTTCATCAGGTAAGCCCCACTGTTCAAGACATAGGAAATTACTGATTGAAATAAACTGTGGTATAAAAGCTTGAGAACATCAAGAGAGACTGTTTGTTTCAACCAACAAAGTAAATATACATGTTTACCGAGCTTCAGTTTGACACTATCAACATGAAACTTCGAGGTAAGTTTATTATCAATATCAACACCTAAGAATTTAGTACAATTACCTTGACGTAAAGTTTCATTATTTAATCTAACCAAATAGCTTTTATCAATTGTTGTATTTTTAGTAACAAAGTTGAGCATTTGAGATTTAGCAGAATTTAGCAGCACTTATAAAACACCACTCAGAAATTTGATCAGTTACTTCATTAGCTTTGATAATTACTTCGGATATAGTTCCCGCAGATACTAAGATGTTAGTATCGTCCGCAAAAATAACAGTAATGGAAGCTTTTGAACAAAATTTCCGAAGATCATTTATAAAAACCAAAAATAAAAGGGGCCCCAAAACAGAGCCTTGAGGTACCCCACTTGATATACATTTTCTTTCATAATTCAATAGAAGTACAAATTCACGGAGTCATCAGCAGAAGTTAGTCGAATATTTGTGGTTTCAGTTAATAAATCTTGTACTTCTGATGCACCGTTTGGCACATTTGGTGTAGTAATGAATATTACTGGAGTTTTTTCCGACAGCAAACCGTAATTTCAACACCTCGACACGTGTTTCGATCACCACGTGATCATCTTCAAGAGGAAGATCAAACTAATTTGATCAGTTTGATCTTCCTCTTGAAGACGATCACTTGGTGATCGAAACAAGTGTCGAGGTGTTGAAATAACGGTTTGGTGTTGAGAAAAAACTCCAGTAATATTTAATAAATCTAGTGTTCAAGAATATTACTAAAATTACCACAGAGCCAGTCAGCCAGCTATGGCTGCCTGCGGAACATCCGGATCCAGGAAATCATACAGATATGAAGAATATGGAGTGTTTTGATACAAATCAAAGAGATAATTTCATCGAGCCTAGCACCCGAAAAAAGGCAAATCATTGACATGTGTTTCGGGTTCTTCGGCCCATCATCAGTATTGTGCAGCCAAGTGCAAGGATGGGTACTATAAATGACACGGCAGAAATGAGAGTTTCCGTTTCAGTTGACACGTCAAGAAGAGTACTGAAGATAACTGCCGCAGTTGCAGTCGAAACTTTTTGAAAGAAGACCGCGATAAAACCCGGAAACCAACCAAAACAATTATCACAACAGTTCAAGTGGAACTGCTTGAATCCATTTACTGAAGAAAATAAATTTTCATCAATATATTCGTATTCGATCTCATAGATGAGAAATTGTATGGGTAACAATTTTGAACTCCGCCCAATAATCAAGTGTTACAAGTATCATTCTAAAGTAGCCATAATTACTCGAAATTTGAACGTGTTGAATTCCTTTCGATCGTTAAAAACTATTATGAATCGTTATATTTTTTGTTCGAACCATCATAACCGTCATTATTTTTTACATAACGCTCCGCGAGCTAGCCCGATCCTGTTTCCTCTGGCATCGCGTGTCTTCTCTCCGCAAGTATAAAAAGTTTCTTTTGCACTGAACTTCACAGATAAGTATATCGTGATGCGGTAAACATGGTTTCGAATAATGTTTTTCTATTCAGAGTAATAATTTTTTTGTGGGTATTTTGTGCCGCTTTGTGTGAGCTCCGAAAAAGAGATGTTCACAGAATCGTGATCGAAGAAATGGTTCCAAGAAGCCACAAAAAAGGGCATATCAATCCACACGGGCATGGCCATAAGGGCCATTCCGGCCATGGTTACAACAGTAAAAACAAGAAAGGAAAGCGTGTCCACAAAAGTCAAGGATCAGAGACGAGTAGCTCTGAGGACAGTAGCAGTTACAGCAGGGAAAATAGTTTCGAGGATGTTTTCTATGGCCGCCAGGTGAGTAGGTACTATATCCACCAAAAAATTGGGTGTCACAAACTACGTACCGACAGTACCTTGAAGCAATTTTTGTGATCAACACAGTCGAATCCTTTTGTTAGATCACAAAATACTGCCACTGCAACCTCACCAACATTCAGTCGAAGGTAAAGTTCTTCTACAAAAGCAAACATTGCATAATTTGTGCTCTTAGAGGGTTGAAAGCCATATTGATTGGAGCCATATTGAGAGAGTTGAAAGCCATATTGATTTGTCAAGAAAATTTAGGATTCTCTTTTTCATTAACTTTTCCACGATTTTAGATAGAGTTGGCAGTAAAGAAATAGACCTGAAGTTCGCAGGTATTATAGAATCGCCACCTTTAAATAATGGGATAACTTCAGCAGTTTTTAGGTAATCTGGAAAAATACTATTTATGAGAGATTTATTTATAACTTCTGCTAAGATATCTAATACAGTGTTTGGCAGTTTAAAGAAAATTTCAAGTGGGAGATCATCCCATCCTGAAGAGTTTTTATTTTTTATGCTAAAGAGAATTTCTTTTATTTCATTTCCAGAGGTTGGGGACTTTTATGCACAATGGAAATAATAGTAATTTTAGCATGCCCTGTATGATATGGAGTCGATTTCTTGGTGTTATTTGAATATTTCGAGTTTGTCCAAACAATCATCAAAATATCAACTTTTCATGAATTGAGAGTACCTACTGATGTACTTAATTTCAATTAAGCTATGTTTTGGGCCATATTTAGCACAATTTATTTTTTATCTCGAAAACAGATAGAGATATGTATAGGACGTTATTGACAAAAAAGTATTAAAATACCAGAGCGATTCCAAAAATGTATTAATATACTGGGTGTTCTATTTAAAAAAATATAATTGCTAGGACTTTTTGATAGAAGTGGCAACGCCGCAATGCTGAAAATATTTTAGATCGATAGAACAGGTAAGGAAATGTGAGAGGTGAAATTTTCAGAAAAATCATGCTTTGAGTTTTCCAGAAACGTCTAACCTACCATCGACCGTGAGTCACGCTGTATATATAGTATAGGTATAAATGAAAATTGACAGAAAATATAGATTTTGAAATTTTTCAGAAGCAGAAACCTTACCACAAAAAGAAGCCCTCCCACAATCGACCCTCGTATCCAACAAACTTAGAAATCGAAGAGTCAAGGCGGCATCAGTACAGAGAACCAAAACCACATTCTGACAATGACTGGGTTCCACTCAACGCTGAACAGATAATCCAACACTCGCACGAAAACTACAGGAATCCTGATAAGAGAAAGAAAAGGAAGGAGCAGAAAATTAAAAGCAGGAAACAAAGCAGTAAGAATACGAAACAACACCATATTTCAGAGTATACCACTTCATATCCACTGATAAATTTCGATACTTCCACTCTTTATGCATCATTGCCCGTTTTATCCGGTACCTTCACTGACTTCGACGGCAAAGTTTTACAAACCAACCAGTCGCCTATATTTAATCCCTTTGAACAACCAAAAGTTGACTACTCCAGTTCAAAAGATAATTTAGATCGTTTGAGAAATCATCGCTCAAGTTATGGTGTAAGGGAAGCTAGTGAAGCTGACATTGGTTCTTTCATTTTGGTACCTGATAGCAAATCTGAGGACTCTCTAGATGACCAACATCGTAAAGTGGTCACTGAAGCCAACAAATCAAACAGAAATAGAGGTTCAGTAACATACTAATCACAGCAAAGAACCTTTCAAATAACTAATCTTTAAACAGAGTGAATCATACAATTGTTAATGCTTGTAATAATCGATAGACTATACTCATTCCATTGTATCACATGAAAATCTCCTTCAAGGTGATCGTTCAATACAAGATATAATTTCAATCAATCAACCAAGTTATTTGCATAATTTCCCATTGTGATGGATTTTGCATCGCGGATTGCGATAAAGTACACTTAAAAATACAACAAAGTAAACGATTTGTTATTGAAAATTAAGATTGAGATACTCATCAATGTTGTAGGGACACAGATCAACCAGCAGCGCTTTTATATCATTCTTAAAATTATTTATATGTAGATTTCTCATATAACGTAGTAGATCGTTAAGAGTCTTATGGTCACGGTTACGAAACTTGTATGGGTGATTGCCAAGGCGACGACATAAGGAGGTAGTCGCCATTTCTGGTTATATAAGTATTCATGATTGCTGTTCACCGTAGTAATGTTTTGCATTTTGATCTAGACGAGACATAAGATAATATGTATAAAGCTGAAATAGTCTACAACTGTTTAGTTATAGATGGGGTTTAGGCATTAATAACTAGTATCAACGTATAACTCTTAGTTTATTTCAAGACTCTCAACCTGTTGCACTAACTGTTGAGCCCAGAGAGAGAGACTGGTGCCCACGTCCCTATTCTGACAGCCACCTCTTTCGCCGTGTCTCTGAACCCACCAAAAGGTATCACATCGTGAATGATAGAACAACAACTATCAGTCCGCTTTATTTTCTTCAATATTATAAAGGTTTTTTTGCAAGATAAGTATCATCTCCCAATCAGTTGAGTTCTGTATCCGTATCTGTAGAGTAGGGAGAGTGAGTGTAGACCTATAGCACTTAGGCCACATGTGACCCATTGTACATCCTCCCTAGGAGTTGTCCTCCTAGGTCACCGTCCATCCTGTCCTTTCCAGGGAGGTACACAGGTCACTAGGGGACATCTCCTTTATGTCAGCAGGTCTAGGCCATAACTCACCGAACACACACTCTCTTATCGTGGCTTTCTTCAGCAACTCTAGCGCCACGTCGTCATCGCAGACCACTCTGATGATTTCACCGGAATAAGTCTACGACTTGAACGTGGGCGGTTTACTGTTGCTGCTGGAGGCGGAGAAGATGATCTTGTCCAGATCCTCCAGCAGTTGATTTTTGATGAGACTCTCCCGTTCTGTGGTAACCTTACCGTACGAGTTAGTCTCATCTATGATGGCAACCTTGAGGTGTTTCAGGGCGGTCCCCGCGAAGGTTTTGAAAGGTGCAGCGATATTATTGTCGTTGCGAAGCTTCTTCAACCTTCTTGAGGTTCCCTCCGTCGAGGTGCTCAAGTGAAAGCGCTTTCCTGCAGGAACAGCCGGTTCTTTGCCTTTATTCAAGGCGAAGCTCTTGGCGCTCGCCCCAGGAAGCACCCTGGCTGTTGGAGGTGAATATCCGCCACCTGGGGATGCGCCCGATAGGTAGCCCAACCCACGGGAATCGTTTGAGTTTTCGCTGGCCCGAAAAGTATTCCTTGAGATACCTTAGATTGAAATAGTCCCATGTATGCTGCTAGAAATACATAACAGAACAAATTCAGTAATTCTAAGAAGCGGATAAAGAACACTGGATAGTTTAGAAGGTCTTTCCAATTGAGCTTCGGATCTAGAATAACTCTCAAAAACTCGAGGGACTTTTTGTCTTAGTCTTTCAGCTATTTCAGAGTGAAAGTGATTGTATTAGTTTTTTCTAGACAAAAATTATTAGCTGCAACGAATGTATTAATTTTTCTATTGCATCTTCGGTTTGTTCATTAGAGTGTTCATTATCAGGGTGACTATCATAAAACGTGGTATTATCAGCACACTAAATGGTGTTGAAAGAAGTCTTGTGATGTGGAAGTTCTTTAGCATATAGTATAAATCGAAGAGGTCCCAAGATAGACCCCTGGGGCATCTCTGCAATTACATTCAATGCCGGAGATCTCACTGTGTCATGCTTAACGGCCTGCATTCTATTAGATGAATAAAATTGGATCAAATCAGCTCCTTTGGGCCTTATTCCATAGTATGGGAGTTTTTCTAGTGAGATCGAATGCGACACACAGTCAAAGGCCTTCAGAAGGTCATAAAATACAGCTGTGAGTGCTTCTACCCGCTTGAAAGACACTGTTCCTTGCATCAGTTCAGATACAGCCTGTGTGGTTGATAGATTTTTGTCCAAACCACCAAACTGTGACTTCGAGAGTAAATAATTTGAGTCTCGGAAAAAGTAACATTTTGAGATACCAAATTAGGGCCAAGTATTTAAAAGAGATTGGAATAATTGATTCTATTATTTTTGATCGAATTGTTTGCAGAAATCGAGACAAAAATCATTTTTCAAATTTCAAGTTAAAACAGGTTTCCACAAGTTGTTCGAAAGATTTCTTCTAATAGGCAATTTATCCCAATTGCGAATATATCTATTCTGTTTTACCGGCAATTCAGTTCAACCTCTAACCATAGTAAAAATTATCCAGTAAGTCCACTCCCACTACTTTCATTCATAAATTCAGAGTTCTCGATGACCTCGAAAGGAAGTGCGGAGCCAATTTCGTTCTTTTACCATAGGCGTGCGCTCATATAAAAACGAAATTAAATATATTATAGAAGATTTTGTGGTTACTTATAACCAACTACAAAAACTAAAAACAATAACAATAGCGAATAAACTAAACACAATATCAATTTCCGACCGTTTATTATAACTAGTCCGATGCCCGTGGCACCGTTGAATCCTTCGATACTACAGCACTGAACGCACTACAGCACTATTTCTCTTTTTTTCACCAATGAATATTCGAAATGTTAACTAGAATAAAATTGCCAGTCAATTTGTAGTTGATGTATAATATACAATTTCCGTTTCACACGATGATAACAGTTGATAATTATGTCAACAATAATAGCTGAATGGCTCGATATAATAAATCAGTCAACTAATTAGGCTTCTTACCAAATGCTCAAATAATTTTTGAGTATATATCAACTTGATATGAACCAAGTTTCGAAAATGTTGGAAAACAGATGTTTGAAAATAATGTTATGTTTTCCCCTGTGTTAAACATCAATATATCTTACATCTTTGTGAGTTTCAGTGCCTCTGATGTAGGGTGGCACTAATAAAAATATATTTTGTTGAACTTGAATGCTTTGAAAAATATTTTTGTTTATTTATTGAAAAATAAACATTGAAGTATCTTAGTATCACCTTTTATTAGGAGGCAACAAAAATACCTTCATTAGACTGCCAAACTCTTATGAAAATCAAAGAATGTAAACTTTTCCGGGGTTTTTTGACCGTGATCTGCAGGTTTTTATACTTGACGTTTCGTCTACTACTGCATTTGATGTCTACCGCAGTAGTAGACGAAATTTCAGGCATCAACACCTGCAAACCGCGCCAAAAACCCGGAAAATTGCTTTGGCACACTTATGAGATAATTTAAATACGATTTTTGATATTCAGAGGTATTTATAAATAAACAAAGAGCATCTATTCGTTGGTATATGAAATAAGAATTCGAACAAATAGGAAAAAATCAGAGGAGCTTATGTATAAATTGAAAGGTGTACTTTTTTTAGGAGAGATTAATTTTTTGGAAAGAAAGATTTTGGCTTTCCAATTCTCTGTCTTTGGAAGATTCCCACATATTTTTGTATAAAGCTGGAAAAGTAGAAAGCCAAAACCTGTATTTTCAAAAGAGCTAACGTAGTTTCACACAAATTGAAACACACGTTACAGTTTACTATTTATTGATGTAATTATAAATAAGAGGTTTTGTATTGTTATTTCTCTAATTTTGTACAATAAAAAGTATAACACAACTGTCGCATCTATAACCATCACTCCAAGTCCTCAAATCACTTTGGTAGTTTGTAGTAACCGTTGGAATAAATCAGGTGATGTTCCCGAACTTTTCTATCCAGAAATACTTTCAATTCCTGGAGATTGCATTCGATAGTAGGGCCTTGGAAAGCAAACATTTTCAACATTTGATGTATCCTTTCCAGGGGTAATGTATCCAAATTCATTAACATACCAACAATATAAGACCAGAATGTCTGAAACATAAAAAACAATCTGTTGTGATTATTCTTAATGAGAACCACGTAATGAGAACATTTTTGTCGTTTAAGTGAATTGGTTTACTGGAATCAAATTGAAGCTTTTGAGATATGAATATCATTACCTACAACAAAATAAATTAATTAATTCACGTTATGAAGAAACAATACAAAATTGAATGAGAAACCAATGTAGATGTAATGTAGATTTGGTGATAAAAGTGGCTTTAAATCAGAATAATGAACAATATTACAGAAATTCTAGAAAATTGTTCAGGCCTCAAGTTTTAGAGAAAGCATAACTTCTGTCACAAAAAAATCAAGCGCGGTTTTTGAGAGATGTTGTTTTCATTTAGAATTCCCAAAAAACCTTTCATTCTCTCTCGCATTCTACCACTCTCTCTCTCTCTCACTCTCTCATTGCCTCTCGCATTCTACCGCTCTCCCTCCCACCGTCACTCTCATTCTACCGCTCTCTTCCCCCGCCCTCTCTCACTATCGCTCGCATTTTACTATTCGCAATCTCTCTCACTGTCGCTGGCATTTTACTGCTTTCACTCTCTCTCTCACTGTCGCTTGCATTCTACCGCTCTCTCCCCTTCTCTCTCTCTCTCACTGCCTCTCGCATTCTACCGCTCTCTACCTCACTGTCGCTCGCATTTTACTGCTCTCACTCTCTCTCACTGTCGCTAGCATTTTACTGCTCGCAATCTCTCTCTCACTGTCGCTCGCATTCTACCGCTCTCTCTCTCTCTAGAACTTTCCCCCGCATTATACCACTCTCTATCTCACTGTCGCTGGCATTCTACCGCTCTCTCTATCTCACTGTCACTCGCACTCTACCATCTCTCTAACTTTTCCCCGCTCTCTTTCTCACTGTCGCTGGCATTCTACCGCTCTCTCTCTATCTCACTGTCTCTCGCATTCTACCGCTCTCTCTCTCTCCCTCTCTACCTTTCCCCCGCATTCTACCGCTCTCTATCTCACTGTCGCTGGCATTCTACCGCTCCCTCTCTATCTCACTGTTACTCGCACTCTACCGCTCTCTATCTCTCTAACTTTCCCCCGCATTCTACCGCTCTCGTTCTCACTGTCGCTGGCATTCTACCGCTCTCTTTCTCACTGTTGCTGGCATTATACCTCTATCTCACTGTCGCTCGCATTCTACCGCTCTCTCTCTCTCTCTCTCTCTCTAACTTTCCCCCGCATTTTACCGCTCACTATCTGACTGTCGCTGGCATTCTACAGCTCTCTCTCTCCCTCTCAATCTCACTGTCGCTCGCATTCTACCGCTCTCTCTCTCTCCCTCTCTACCTTTCCCCCGCATTCTACCACTCTATTTCTCACTGTCGCTGGCATTCTACAACGCTCTCTCTCTCGCTCTCTATCTTACTGTCGCTCGCACTCTACCGCTCTCTATCTCTCTACCTTTCCCCCGCATTCTACGCTCTCTTTCTCACTGTCGCTGGCATTCTACCGCTCTCTCTCTCTCTATCTCACTGTCGCTCGCATTCTACCGCTCTCTCTCTCTCTCTCTAACTTTCCCCCGGATTTTACCGCTCTCTTTCCCACTGTCGCTGGCATTTTACTGCTCTCTTTCTCTCTCTCTCTCTCTATCTCACTGTCGCTCGCATTATACCGCTCTCTATCTCACTGTCACTGTCATTCTACCACTCTCTCTCTCTCTATCATACTGTCGCTCGCATTCTAGCTCTCTCTCTATCTCTCTTTCCCCCGCATTTTACCGCTCTCTTTCTCACTGTCGCTGGCATTCTACCGCTCTCTTTCTCACTGTCGCTGGCATTCTACCGCTCTCTTTCTCTCTCTCTCTCTCTCTCTATCTCACCGTCTCCCGCATTCTACCGCTCTCTATCTCACTGTCGCTGGCATTCTACCGTTCTCTCTCTCCCTCTCTATCTCACTGTCGCTCGCATTCTAGCGCTCTCTCTCTATCTCTCTAACTTTCCTACGCATTCTACCGCTCTCTTTCTCACTGTCGCTCGCATTCTACCGCTCTCACTCCCTCTCTTTCACAACAAATAAAATCACCATCATAAAACTGAATCAGAAGTAAATGCAGCACGTAAAAATTAACAGCTATTAAAAATAGAATCATTCGTCTGTAAAAGTATTCTCTAGATATCTAGTTATTAATTTATTTTTGGAAGACCCTTTCTTACTCATAACAAACACGCGAAGTTTAATCAAAATCTGCAAAAATAATTGTGAGTTATCAATAAAATAATATTTTTAGTAAAACTTTGATACCTCTTTACTTGGAAACGATTCAAGGTGGGACACACGTTCAAATTAGTAATAATCAAGAATAACAATGGACCCAACACAGATCCTTGAGGAACACGTAGTTTTACATCATTAGGAACTGGTGTATTTCCATTCAATAGACCACCAAACTACGATCTCATGTGAAATTCTATCCAACACATTATTGAGAAGGTCCATTTCTACATTTTGTTTTACATTTAACATTCAGAAAAAATAGTATGGAATGCTTTGTTGTATCCAATAGTTGGTAAGACGTAATTCGAACGTCGATCCTGCAAGCGAAGCATCGCGATGGTTATGGAATTTCTAGAAATTCTAGATGCATCGATCTTACTATAAAAGAGCGAGTTCCTTCGGCAAGATTATATTAGGAAGAGAGTGTTCGAAGTCTCAAGCAAGCGAGTATTTTAAGTGAATTATAATCAGTGCAGTAGTTGTATATTAAGTAAATAAAAGTTGTATAAATATTATTTATTACTGTTGTTGTTTTAAAAACGAACCTCAAGTAAATATCGTAACACCTTCCTAATATTTTCGCAAAGAGTTTCAAGAAGAAAGAAATGAATGAAATATGTATACCTGTTTTGCAGTCAATAGGAAATACAACCAATCTATATAAAAAAGACAACACGTAAGAGTCTCAAGAACTGAAAAATTACCTGCAGCTCTTCTTCTCTCTGATCCTGAGCACTAGCCATAGCTGATTCGGATTCATATTCTTCCACAAACAAGTCTTCTTGTATACTGTTGTCCTTACTTATTAGGTCTTCTTGGATACAGAACACATCCTGTGTAGTTTCAACAATAATACCTTGCGACTGCCAGAAACCAATTTTCCTCCTCAGTATTGTGGGGGGGCACTGCATAACTTTGCTGAGTTCCTCCAAATGCCAACTGCCTTAAGTAAAAAAGAAACTTCAAAAATGAAGGCAATAGGTTGCTTTCAAATTAAAGAAATGGGCGAACAATTCAAACATATTTGATCACTGAGCAATAATCCTGACTTTATACATCAAATGATTTCTAAATATTTCAAAAGATTGAGTTCACGTGCCTCTCTGTCAAAAGATGATTCGCAAATGTTGAACTGGTCTTTCCATTCAAAAAACTACTTCTAGTGTCTTTTATTCTTTTGGAGAAAGTTCTCCCCGTTTGTCCAATATAAAATTTCCGACAAGAACCACAAGTCAACTTGTAGACTCCAGATCTATGAGACACTGGAGTTTTATTGTTATTTATGAATTTACTCAAATTATTATTTGTTCTGTAGTCTGTAGGATCACAAAAAGAAGTTAGAGTTACATAATGTTTGAATAAGCTGATTGGTGTGGATTTTATTCTCTAGGTTGTTCATGAAATTTTCAGCTAACAAGGGACTAAAGGGGGTTCCCCACTATTACACTCTCAGTACAAGAGTAAAAATCGTCATTGAATTGAATATAATTTTGAGATTTCCACTTTCAAGTGTATTTTATGAATAAATTATGATGGATATTCATCACTTATCAGTCAGTTCTATCATATTTTTAAATAAATGGCAATTATGAACTTACTTTTGTCTTGAAAGTGCATAATAACAGTGGCGTGAACAGGTGAAACAGATAAATTCAACGTCCTATGAGCCAGTTCGATTTCCAGATCGACAAATCCCAGATGGTTTTTCCAGCACAGCGTCCGGCTACCTTTCAAAGTTTCGAATGCAGTTATGTAAGTAGCTATTTGGGTCTGCAGCTTGCTATGCAACTCCAACTTCTCCTCTTTGAATGGAGGCCAAAACTGGGCTGACACAATCATAGCAGTAATTGGTATATCACTCTCCGTATAATCTGGATCTTGCTTTATATGTTGGTTTATTCTCTTTGAATCGGCTATATCTTTCAGCATGACCTGCGGCGCAAAACATGATAAATGAGTGTCAAACAACCACGGCTTTAAGTTACCTCACAATAATGCAACTGGGAATCACCGAAACGCAACTTCAGCAATTCCAGGTAGCGTATCTCTTTTTCAGTGTCACACAAGTACTGTGTCAGGAGCCTATCGGCAAGAAGTGTCCTGTACTCGTTCACGAACAAATCTTTGCTGCCGTACACATTCACCAGCATTGAAATTATGTCAGACGTCCGGCGAATCATACAAGTTTTACCTGAAATTATAATCGTGAATGCACAACGTTGCTAATGATTCAGTTCCTTCTTACTTGGAGCAGCATCAACAGGGTCGGGTACCCAGGTCTCCCAGTTTGCGGTATCCTCGTCAGAGGGTGCGTTTTCATCCACTTGGACAGCTTCGCCTCTCACTAATTCTTCTGCCAAGTCATTGGGCCCTTCTTCAGTCAAGCTGCTAACGACACATCTGAAAAATTAAAATTATAAATGCATACAGCTGAAAAACTGACAAGTTCACAAAGTTGACGTTTGTCAACAGGAACGTTTTCCTAGGACAATGAACACATTTTTCTCTCTCTCTCTCTCCTTATGTTTTGAACAGACCTCGTATAACGACAAAACTTGCCTAACTGTGTCATCTCTGCTCCTCAAATATTGATGAACAGGTTGGGTAACCGTTTCTAACAGTAAGCCGGTTGGGTCCAAGACCCTGAGAGATCTGATGGCAGCTATGTATGCTGTCAGAACATCTGGGGTGCTTACTCCAGGATGTAACAGTCTCGTTTCCATAGCTTTCTGTAGTTTCTTAACAAGTACCGATTTCAAATCAGTTCTTGGCAGGCATAATCTCAAGTCCTCCAAAGCTGGGAGTGATTCTGGGTATTCTAAAATATATGAAAATTAAAACACAAATTCATTAGAAGTAATTCATTCACCTATTATTATATTGAACAACTGATCGATTCTTATTTTGGTGTAGCTGTTGTATAGAAAATTAACCAACTTCTTCTCGAAAACGTCCATCGACTCTGCAAGGGCAGCTGATAAATCATAACAATAGATATTCCGAAGCCAATTCAACACAACGGTTTGTAACCACTGAAAAATTCAAACACTATAGTTCAACTTCAGATGGAGTAATTTTTGTACTACTACTTTGTGTTAGTGTGCCTAAAAAGTTATGTTGATTGGGATAAATACCTTTTCCAATATTGATACAAAAGATGTATCGAAGCTATCTTTACAAATTTTTTGAATGTGGGAATGAATATAGCCATATATTAAATTTGTCAGCGTCTGTCCCACCAAAGGTTCCAACAGCATCATTTCGCCAAGTTTTCTAAAAAACTATCAGTGTTAAGTAGATCATCAGCTCAATGAATTACCCTTCTCCCACCAGACAATGTGAAAACTATTCACAAAATTTCAAATGATGGTCTTATATCATAATCAAGGGCTACATTCATATCGATAGCAATATATATGAATTTTATATTGAATTTATTATAAGGATTCAATTACACCGGTTCAATATAATCAGGTTATAATCTCCTGATGATGTCAGCTTGAACAGAGAAACGTGTGAGAATAGTTCCACATTACTGGTGTACGTAAAAAGGATTTTGTGTTTAAATTATTCTACAGCACAGGTTCTACTTATAATATCAATTACCTATTTGTCTCTTGAAATAAGTGTAAACAATTACAGTGTAAACGTTCTTGAGAGCAAATTATGCATTGTGAGTCATTTCCTTGTTCGATGTCTTCCATTTTGAGAGCAGCTTCATAAAAATTCATAACAACTGTTTGATAATCCAAATTCAACTCTGAAAGGAGAGTAGCCCTCAAGATCAATTTGAGGGCATTGTGGTCACAATTTTCATTATACAGAGACTCTTCCAGCTCGATGATTTTCTTGAACATACCAAGTTTCGAGACTTCATGATCAAGTTGCTTAAATGAATCGTATAAAGCATTTATGGCATTATAAAACTGTTTGAACCCTTTGTTTTCATGTTCGTTGTTCTTGAAGTATGACCAAAACTCTGGAGCTACTTCTACTCTCAATTTCTGTTCAATTTTTGATATAATGAGATTCTGAATGTGGCTTGATAAACTTGTTTTCTTTATGAATTCAGCTACAATTTGAAGATCTTGTTTTGAAAATGCCCTATCTTCCAAATGAATCAAGGAGCAAGTATCTTCCAGAATGGGGAAAACCTTTTTAGTAAGAGTCCAAGCTTCCTTGTAATCCATACTTTCATTCATATTCTCCTTCAAACCTGAAACCAATTTCTGAATGATTTATAGATGGAAGCCTATATATTCTGTGCCTATTATTGTGTGTGAATTATTTTATTTTGTTCGTTGACAAATGTAGCCACATAAATTACCACATTTTTCATATTTTCGATAGTGAGTAATTATAAAAAAAGTTTGAAACTGAAATTGTAAACAAACAACAGTTGGTACCCCAGAGTTGGTCCCATAGACATTATAAATATGGACTGGCCGTTACGTCACTTTTGCATATATTCGATCTGCAGTTCACACAACGTCTTGGCTACTGCGTCACAGCACCATGTGACAAGTGACAAATCAAATCCTAAAATTTTCACAATGGAAATGTGCAACAAGTAAAACATCGTGACGTATCTGACATTAAAAGTATCAGTGACGTAAATGCCCAGATGTGAATCTCTTCTTCTTTTTTTCAGTTGTTAGAGCAATTTCTCTCTTCGATTCCCAGTCCATATTATGACGTCACAGATTTCTTCACAGTGATCGTATATGTTCTGAAAAGTAACCTGAATTTTGTCAAACTGTGTAGTAAAAATCTCACGATGAAGTGTTTCTTGAATACGTTATCGTATTCCAATCGTATTTCCAATCGACTGATTCCAGCAATTAGCAGTACTTCCATTCACGTTTTACTCTTTCGGCTTTATCGTTCCATTTGATTCGAGAATCTAGTATTTGCATAGGAATATGATATTGTTAAAAAACTAATCAATACAGTTTATTGTATGATTTTCACTATAAGGGGTTTTACAAAAACCGCGACACGTGTTTCGCTATACAATAGCTTCCTCAAGCATAAGAGGTTATGCTTGAGGAACCTATTGGATAGCGAAACACATGTCGCGGTTTTTGTAAAATCCTTTATAGTGAAAATCATACAATAAACTGTATTGATAAGTTTTTTAATATGGATTTTCATTAAGTATCGGCCAGTTCTATTCAATATGACATTATGTCAAGATTTGGGCCCCTGGTCTTTTAATTACAAAAAGACGTAACACATAATATTCAATTCATATAATTTCTTAAATGGACCTCTTGGGGACAAATCTTTGCTTGTTGACTTTCACCACGGAGTCCTATATTATTGTTTTCATGTACAACAGAAAATTAAAACGCGCTAACGTTTCAAATAGGGCTCAGATTATTTAATTTGCTATCCCTTGAACTGAAAAACTGTAGTACCATCCACAGCTTCAAAATTACACTTAAGTCTCTCCTAGTCGAGAAAAACTATTACCCCCTACAGGAAATGATTGAATAATGAAATAAAAATTTCAATGAATGTGTTACTCTTAGTAAATTGTATATCTATTTTTAGTTTTATTTTAAAGATCTTCTATGACAAATCCTACACAATGTACCTTTTTGATTGTTTACCAGGATCCATTATTATAAATGGATCAGTACCGTCCATCGCCTTGTTCTTTCACCACAGAAAACTTTAGGCACTGTGCTTTCACTTTCAGGGCGAATTCCAATAAAAAAGAAGAAGATTTAAAACCATGTGAGTCCGGAGATTTGAAAATGCAGATTGGAATATTGGTAATCAAAACATAGAGATTAAGTTAAATATTATATGGAAGTCTTCTCATTCGTATAAAGAATATTAAATTGATGTTGTTAGTTGGGAGACAATAAGGAATGTTTATAATTATACCGTTCATTGGAATAATAAATTCACCAGGAATTTATAGAAAAAGAAGAAATACCTCATAGTCTGTACAGAAAGATATCTAAAAGATGTCTAGGTATGTGTGCAAATACAAGTGAAGGAAGTATGAATAAGGAAGAGAGGAATCTTGATACAAGTTTAGTTAGTTCTCTTATCTTCAGTGATTATCTATCGAAGAAGTTCGAATCTCTCAATAGTGTTCAAAACAAAAATAGCGAAGAAAATATGGTCAGTAGCAGAAGTGATTCAGACAATTTTTTTTGTGATTTCAGTGAAAATGAAGGTAGACGCCCATCAGACTTCAGAGAAGAGACTCGAAATAATGGATCAGTATTGAGTCTTTCGCCGCGAGATGTTATGAGTTTGAAAAAGAATGTGAAGAAACATAAGATCAGTACAAATGGTAGTTCCAGTCCCGTAGACCATTCTCCAGTTGAAAGTAATAGTGTTAACAAGCATAAACTTGAAGCCGTTGATTTATTTCGTTCCATGAGTACCTCAATGAACGGAGTCAGTGAAGTAATCATTGATGCGCCAGAGGAATGTGTTTTAAAAAAAAATAAAAAGAAATATTCTGAGAATTCGCCATCTCAATCAAATACTGGTTATTTAAAGAGTGAAGGATGCAAAAGTGGAAGTGTTAGTATAAAAAAGTCTAAAACTAAGTGTTCTGTAAAAAAAAACACCAAAAAGAAATGCAATTCTCAAGATGGTAATGAAAAAAGCTTCATAGATAATCTTTTGGAGTACTACGAAGTACAAAGTACCCCCATTCCAAGTGAAGATGAAGATCATTCAGAGAATAGTGGAAAAACAAAGCATACAAATAATCACAAATCAAATGAAGATCAGATCAGAGTTAACAAAAAAAGGGAAGACGCAAAAGAAAGCAATAAAAGAAGAAGAAGTAATTCTGGCGATTGCCTCAATTTATCCTCTTCAGAGGAAAATAAGGACACTGAATTCAAAAACTCTGATAAAACATTGATTGAAATGAGAAAAAAACGGAAATCAGAACATCATACTGAACAAATAATACCTCGTAGCAGTGTTTCATCAGAAGATCCAGAGACTGTAGAGAATATCATTAACTATCTTGATAGAAAAAAGTCCAAATCAAAAAAAGGCAACCACAAAAAATTCAACCATAAATCGGAGGTTAACGGTAGTGGTTCTGTATTGGATTTGAAATATTTGCATAAAGAAAACTACTCAATAAATGAAATATCATCTTCTGAAAATACAGAAGAAATGACTTGTGAGACGAATATTGTGCAAGAATGTTTCAAACAGGTGGGAAAACACAAACGAAGAAAGGATAAATCAAAATATATTGAGTGTTCAGAGTCAGACAATACTTTACATGATGTGTCATGTACTAAAAATGTTGCGAATGAAAAACAATTTTCATCGTTCTCTGAAAATAAACAAGTAGTTGTAGAACACAACAATTCGTACGATTTTAAAAAAGCAAAACAAAAAAATCGGTTGAGAACTGAGTCTAGTGAATCTGAACTGGATATTAGTTTTTCATCTATCGAAAAAACGAAAGAATCCAAAGTCAATGTACGTAATCTGTTATCAAAGAATAATGAGAAAAGGAATCTTGAAGATAACAAAGAAATGGTCAGTGAGGACAGAAATAATTTTTCAAACAATAAAAAAGTAAGTGAGGAAAATAATGTATCAGAGAAGGAATCTCCTGTCAAAAATAAGAATAGAATAAGAGAATCTGTTCATTCGGAAGTCACTTTCGAAAACTCCCATCACACAGAAGAATTAAATGATAATTCACAAGTAGAATCAAAAAAGAAACATAAATCGCAGGATGATTCATTAGTTACTGATGATGCTGAAACGCCAACAAAAAAGAAGAAATATAAAACGATAGACAACTTTCTGAAAAAGTTGGAGAAAAAAATTAAACGTGAAACTAGCTTTAATAACAGTAATTCAAGTATGCAGTTATCTACAGGTCCAGAGATATTAGAGAGTGTTGGCAAACCTAAAGATGAAATCAGTGTACTTATGAACGAAGAAATATCTATTTGCTCCGACGTGAAAGAAGCTATTAAAAGCAACGAAGATTCTTTGGAAAGGCGGCAAATGAATAAAGATGAAGGCACAGATACAGTTCAAGGTGAGCCAGATGAAAATTCTAATATGAGAAAGAAGAAAACTGACGTTTGTTCTGATGACCTGGGAGAGAATAGTGGCAGCGATTCCTGTGAAGAAATCGAACGATCTGTCAAACGAATAAACAGACATAATTGGCGAAATATGGGTAAGTAACAAACTAATTTTATCTTCAAGAGTTAACTTTGTTTCATTCATAAAATATAAGTACTTGAATAATCTTAGTATAAAATTAAACTGTGCATAAATGCTTTATCTATTAGCAAACAACAAAAAATGCAACAGTTTGATTTTTGTGTCGTGGATAAAAAGTCCCTAATAAGTGAAGCATAGTAGGAATTATTTTCAAGAAATTAAATATTTTAAAATAAAACTCAAAATATTCATCTCTCTCAACTATCTACACCGTAGGTTTTGATAAATTCCTGCCGGAAAACAACTACTTCTCCGGCTAATACCACGCTGGATTATGAATTATATCTGACAGACAGTTGAGTGAGATACAGAGTTTAGTCTCCCAGATGTTTCTCATTCTCCCAGCATTAAAACCGATTTTTATAACCAATTCATTCCGCATTAGGCGTTTTAAACAAAATTGGATATAACAGAGACCTAACACAGGTCAGTGAATCACAGTCATGCAGAAGAATATACATGAAAACCAACTCAAACAAATTTTCTCTGGCATAATTTGGATTAGGCCTATTGGAGAAATGACATGAAAAAATAAGTTTTTGAATCCAATATAGTATGACTCAAGAAAATATAAGTCGGCAAGTCAGCATATATAGTTTTTTCATCAACTTTTATTTGTGATTCTAGTAATAGCATTGTGGGAAAACGTTTTTTTCAATTTTATTTCTTTATTTATTCACCTATTGAAAAACAGTATTGTTTCCTAAACTATAAATAATTCCTTATTCAGAAAACAGTATTGAGGAGTTCTTCAGATGGAGCGGATTCTTCTATAAACTATTCACAAAGAGGTGTAGATCATGCAAACAAGTAACTTTCAGACACAACATGGAAGAAAAAGCCTGCTTGGAACAACTATTTTCATATAAACATTGAATTCCTTATCTGTTATTTCCATTTCATATCATAGAATCATTAAATTCTGAATAATTCATTCTCAAACTGATTTCAGATTTAGAGGACGTTGGAGCTGAAGTATTGAAAAACTTAGTTATTGTTCTTCCTTTCAACATTCCTCCTTTACATGTCAATGTGGAAAGACCTAGTAGACCTACTCTGGATGAAATAAAAGCTTCTAGAGATTTTTCAGTGAAGACTGGTGCTTATAGCCAGAAGGAAGACCAAACTATCAAAAACAACTGGAAGAGGTTTTGTAAAGTGAGTACTGTATTTGCAACTACTTATTCCATTCAGCATTTATAATTTTCATATGGAAAATTTCATGCGTATCAAATGCTTACATTTTGTTATGTTTCTTTGACAACAATAATTTTTTTTCCCAAGGACTCTCTCTACAATCGTAAGATTATCACGTAAGTTATTGTTTTTTTTAGATATTTTTTATCGTCTTCAATTATGATTTTCAAATAAGTTTTTTATCCTCTTCTTTTCTCAATGGCGAGTAAAGAGTTGTTGATTTTTTTCATCCAATGTCTACGCTTCATAAAAGAAAAGTAATACATCATTGTCATTTTATTTGTTTCTGATTTTTTTTATTGGAGATACGGAGTGATTTTATGAAGAATGCTGCTCATGTTCCTTAACAGATCATGAATCAGGCTAGAGTTGTTCAGGTTCACCAAATACCTTAAATACTTATCATTTTCATGATTAACTTTGATACGCACAGATTCTGTACACAAGGGACAAAAATTGTACATATTGCAATTCATTTTATTAAAAAATATGCAAATTATGGATATGACTCATATATATTATAGTGTCAACATTAGGTTTTATATTTTTCAGGAACACAATCTGAATATTGAACCTGCTGCTTTCTTCAAATTTCCCCGAAAAATGGCAAAAGAAGAAAAAGTTAAATTTATGCAGTATATTTCTCATGGGTTAGAAAATCGTCCACCCCGCAGGGTGTACCTTCGTTTCAAAACTATTTTTGGAAATTTGGTTAAAATAACTGGCCGGTAAGTACTAATGATTTTTAATAAAGGTACTCTCAACTCATACAAATCAAACGTCGATGATGCAGCATTCCAGATTAACGTATTCAAAAATCACTTTATTGTGAGATTTTCACTAAACAGTTTTACATAAACGCAACACTTATTTCGCCATACAATGGCTTCTTCAGGTGTGTCCTTACTAACTATATTCTACATATTCAATACTTTATATACCTAATTTTACAATTTGAAGTGCCTAGATTTCAAGTACCTGAGTTTGTAATGAATTAAATCACACCTGAGCCAGTTTCCACATTTGAAAAAATATTTAGAAACGGGGAGTTATTCAATTCCAATTTATCATTCAGTAAATTACACGAATTTTTTAATCTGAATATTCTAGAAGATTGAGTTTCAAACTTTTTCTATTCTAAATGTAACACTTCATATGTCCTTCTGCTAAAAGACGGTTTGCAAATGTGGAATTGGTCTTTCTATTTTCAAAAATACTTCTGTCCTCTCTAATTCTTTAGGAAAATGTTCTCCCTGTTTGGCCTTTATACAGTTTTGAGCAAGAGCCACAAGTCAACTTATATACTCCTGATTTAACCGACACCGGATAGATCAGGAGTTATTAATAAATTTACTTAAAACTATTATTCGTTCTGTAAGCTATGTTGACGCATTTTTTCTTCAAAAAACGGGCAATATTATTTTCCGTTTCGTGAAAAAATCCGCTAATTTTAACAGAGTGATTCATAAAAAGTTAAACAAGGTTGTCTTACCTGTTAACGGGATTATCTTACCCGTTACCAATGTTGCGTTACCTGTTAACGGGACAGCATTACCCGTTACCAATGTTGCGTTACCTGTTAACGGGATTGTCTTATTTGTTGCCGAGATTGCCTTACCTGTTAGCGAGGTTGTTGTGTCTGTTATCAATGTTGAATTGCCTGTAAATAATGTTATCTTACCTGTTAAACGTGTTTAGCTTTTCATGTGCCTCTCTGTTGAAATTAGCGGGACCTTTCATGAGAAAATTTTTATTGAAAATCATTGTTATGTGTTCAGAGGTGAAAATGAACCCTGTTAGATATGAATAGAGAAGAGTTTTAGAGTTGGGAATTAGTTTACTCCATCCTCTACAGACGCCAACTTTGTTGGTGAAACGCGCCTCGAGAAGAGTGATGAAGATCTGGTGTACAAGGTTGCCTTAACTGTTGACGACGTTACCATTTCTCTTTACCTGTTAACAAGGTTATATTACCCTTTACTTGCCAACAAAGTAATATTACCTGTTGAAATTTGTTGCAAATTCTTGGGTAGATACTCAAATAGAAGTTTATAGCATGATTACCGGGAATAAGAATCCACGATTTTGTTTTTTACAACTTTATTCTTTGTGTTCCAATATACGATTTTCTTCCACAGATTTACAAAAGCCGAGGACGAACAGATAATTGAATTCATGGAAACGACATCCTCAAAAAAACCATTCGTTGATCTTGGTCGGATATTAAATCGGCCAAGTAATTCAGTGGAAAGGCACTACTTGCGTATACGTGAAGAAAAAAAAATTTTTTGGACTCCAAGTAAGGCCGAACAGCTAATTAATTGCATGCTCAAAGTAGCTAAACTCGAAAGTCCATATCAGTTAGAAAACCAGAAACTAACAGCTAAACAGTGGAAGAAGGTATCAAAAAAGATGGAGGGTATTCCTGTTATAAAATTGCAAAGAGCTTGGAACATCACGATCTATCCTCGATTGTTTGCAGATGGAGATCTAGCGATGGCAAAAAGACTCGTAATAGATATGTAAGTGTATCTGTCTCTGTATCTATAATTTATATATATAGCGATGACCATTAGTCCTTTACAAGTTGACATTTCTGCGTTTTTTTTCAGACTCGATGAACGCCAAGAAACAGATTGGCGACTGGTTGACTGGAAGGAAATATCGAGAAAATTTCCAGGATTTTCTCCTGAGAAATTGTACATGATGTTCAAGAAACTAGTGATACACAATGTTCCCGAAGAACTCCAAAAAGATCTTAAAAGTAAGTGATTTTATTTAGAAAAACTAATGTACTCATTTACATCCACTTTTAGAAAGCATTGAATGTTTAAAAGAGAAGGGGATAGCACCAACCCACAAGTTGAGGAGTTACATATACAGAAATGGACATTTGGTCTATGAAGATGACAGTGATGATGATGATGAGAAGAATATAAAATGGTGATTTTATTCGATACATTGTGATGTGATTCAAACTTAATAGTTGATCCACGAATGGTGTTTCATTGTAATTATTTCCTAAATTCAAGCTTGCCGAGTGGGAAGACATTAACAAGTGATTTATTTGTATTTATATTTGTTCAGTTTCTGGAAATGTTGAACCGATTGTTGAACAGTTCAAAAAAATGTTTTGCAACATTTCATTCAAAAAATACCTTGTTTGTTTCTGAAGAACATTGAATTTCTTTCTTTATTTCAAGTAAATATTTTTACAACTTTGTTATTATAAATGTATATTAACTTCTTTTAAATTTTTTATTTATCTATTAAATACTTTTTTTCAAATTCTATTCTTCTATTTGAGGTGATATTTGTTTAAATTTTGTATAGATGTAAACAAGTGTTCAAACAGACCCTCATTGCCTTATCATTAAACGATGTATTATATCTTTCTTATTAGTCAGTGGGCTATGCTTTAAAGACTGGCAGTAAACAAATCTAAAGAAATTAACTTTAAACGTTCAAGCCTGTCTCGGATATACCTATACAGTAGGTTGAATCGACTGACGCCTATCAGAAAACAACTACTCCCCTGGTTAATACCACGAAAGGCGTTGGATTATATCCGACAGACGTCAGTGCAGGAATCTTCACAGAAAATTTCCTGCACATGCAATTTGCAATACAACTGAAAGGGTCGACCTTCAATTCCGGAACGGGCACACTTGCAGACCGGTTTCGGGCTCATTAGCCACTCATCAGTGCAAGATAGTGGCCATCATCGACCCAAAGTCAATGATGATCCATAATTGAAAATCGGAATTCTTTCAGAGTATTTCATTCCTCTTCCTGAGTTGGAGCGAAACAACAAAATGTCACTCCATCTAGTGGACGAGGTACTAACCAACTGCATATCCCTAATTTGCCCGATTCCTCTGAATAAGGAAGAAAAACTTTCTTATTAGTCAGTGAGCTATGCTTGAAGTTGTATTGCATATGCAGGAAATTTTCTGAGATTCCTGCACTAACGTCTGTCTGATATAATCCAACGCCCTTCGTGATATTAGCCAGGGGAGTAGTTGTTTTCTGATAGGCGTCAGTCCATTCAACCTACTGTACAAGATATATAGTATAAGAGCATTTATTAATATAGAAATCCTAATATGCCTAATACTGTTATAACAATCACATTTTGAAAATACAAGCAAAAGTATAACAAGAATAATAAAAATAAATAAAATCGGAGGATGGAGTGTACAACTCCCAATAGACCAATGAACTAAAAAGCTGATATAAATGTGGAAGATATGTTAAACTCAAACATATTTTTCTTTCAGATATTTAGTTAGACGGTTTTTAAAAATTAAAAAGGAGTCACTACATTTAATATCATTGGGAAGTTTATTGTAGTCCAAGAGACCCTTGTGGAAAAGAGAATTCATTGTCATGGTATATTTTGTTCGGCTAACATATAAGTTCTTATTCCCTCGTGTAGGGTGATCATGGATTTCATTTTGATAAGTTATGAACTTGTTGATATAGGTAGGAAATTTTCCAGTAATAATTTTGAAAATAAATATCATGGAAAAATAGGAAAGCCTGTCTTTTACAGATAGCCAATCGAGAACCTGAAGCATGGTCATTATAGGGGTGTATCTATAACATTTTAGGAGTATACGCATACATCTATTTTGTAGTTTTTGCAAAGAGGATATAAAGTTTGTATCAAAAAGGTTGAGAAGTGTTGGTCAGTAATCAAAATGAGGTCGAATTATCGTATTATACTGTTAGTGATGTTTCAAATGTCAACGTGTTACTAATTCTTGTAAAGTAGAATATTTTTTTAATAATTTTGTTATGAATGTAATTAAATTTTTTTTTTAGGCTCAGAGTGTTGTCTATCATGAATCCGAGGTATCTGAATTCCTCAACCAATTCAATTGTAGGTATATTCGAGACTGGCTTGAATGTTTAAAGTTCATTTCTTTTGATAATGTATTATATATTTGCGATGAATTGCATGAGGACCAAACAAGTTTGAAAGACTTGCATAGACATATGAATTATTTGCTTATTAAGCTACTATTAAAGTATTTTTCCGATTTATTATGTAATTTTACATATGTGATATAAATTCATGACAATTTTTAACTTTTTATGCTTTTGATTGTGTGCATAGTCTATACGAAGTCAATTCGAATGGCATAGAAACTAGTTATCGAACGTCGGCAGTTTCTTCGTATGACATGGCGGCGTGGTATAATTTATGAGGTCTAATCATTATTTTTATGTGGGAGGTTTTATATGGCGTTAACTAGTAAATTTATCAGGCCTTTTATTTAGCTGTTCGGATTGATTTCGCATAGACTATACTTGAGGGTACTTTTTCCAAAATAGCTATTGGGTTTTATTTCAAAAAATGTTCTCCACTTCCTTGAATGAGGCATTCAAAATCGTTCTTTTGAGATTGATGAATGATAATAATATTTATTGATTTCTTTAGGACATCCTAATATACATACATTATTTCAAAAATATATAAATAAATGACATAAATAACAAAAATGATGATATGATAGAATGGAAAAAAAATCATTATTCAATGATTCCAGAATGGTTTCAACATGAGGATATACATAATAAATATATTACAAAACAGAAAAAAGAAAATCAAGTATGATATTTTATACAGTTCATGAGTTTTTTTTAATTGGAAAGCATTAATTGAATCTTTCAACGAGCAAAACTCGGCACATTACAATACAGGTACAATAACAGAGGCAGCTCAGGTAATAAGACCAAAACAGGTAGTCGAGCAAACACAGGTAGTGGCAGCAACACAGGTAAAGGGAAACATCCATCTCTATAAATTGAGACACAGAGTTCGAACTAATCAGTCTAGTTGAAAAAACCAGACATCACCAGAAGATGGCAAATGAGACTTTGCCGAAACGTTGTGAAAATAATCCTTATGGGTATAAAATACACAGAACACGGAGCGAAACCCGAGAAAACAGCTCATCATACTTTATCCGTGAGAATCTTCGAGTTAACATATATATATAATCAAAATGAGAATGAAGAGACAAACGATTATCCATGATGAAGTATTTGAATTCACTTAGGAACCTATTACATCACCTGCAATTTGTAATCTTATGTTGAGATTGTTGATGAGTGATAGCTTATAACCAGTTGATAGGATCATATATTTTGGAGGTGTTGAGTTTTAGTTTATTGCGATTCATGTACTTAAAAACATTTCTTAGTTCATTATTCATTTGATCAGCTACTGTTTCTATATTATCTCCTGAAATTGATAAAGTGTCTGCAAAAAGGTTCATGAAATCACAACCATGGATGGTATCTATACCATTCAGGTAGATTAAAAATAATATAGGTCCCAAAACACTCCCCTGAGGTACCCCAAAAATGACATTACGAGATGATGACACTGAATCCTTTATTTTGGTTACCTGCTTGCGTTGTGTTAAATAATCAGTCAGCCATAACAAAACAGTTTCCCTGATACCAATACTTTGCAGTTTATTTAGTAATATGTGGCGATCAATTGTCTCAAAAGCTCCTTTAAGATCTAAAAATACGGCTATGATATAATGTCCCTTATCTATTGATTCTTTCCATTTTGATATTGTTACTTGTGATGCAGACTCACATGAATGGTGTTTTCTGAAATCTATCTGATATTTTAGTAATATATCATTATTTTCTAGATATTGAATAAGTTGATTATAAACTGCGAGTTCTAATACTTTTTCAATACAAGGCAAAGTGTTGATTGGTCTAAATTCCCAGGATTTATTTGTGTTAAGGACTTTCTGAATTGGCACAAGGACACTGGTCTCCTCCGGGAATCTGCCAGTGCTCAAAAGATGTATTTATAAAATGCAAAAATGCATGTCCTATAATACCAAACGTTTTTTTAATGAGTTTGCAGTTAAGTATCTCACTGCTGTATTTCATTTCTACTCTGTTGATCAATTTAGACAGACCAACACTTTGATTCTCGAAGGAGTTGTTAATCGATATAACATTGTTCTCATGAAGTGAATCATATTGATAGAATGTCTTTAATACATTTGTTAATTACTAGTGGCAAATGTTTACATTTTTAAAGTGTATAGGCCTTGCCAGGAAATTCATTCAATTTTCACTCCCTTTTTAGAAGTATGTTTGAATACAATGATGTAGGAGTTGACTGAATCAAATTCACCAGAAAACAACTACTTTCCCGGCTAATACCACGCTGTATATTGAATTATATCCGACCCAGACGGTAAAGTGCCTGGGACTCTATAATATCAACACGGCTCAACTGTATCAAACCTTCATCTTATTTAATTTGGTCTATTTCAGATAGACTTATTTTATTTGATGAGAAGAAAGTGTTAATTTCATTGGCTTTCTCTGTGACTCCTCAGTAATTAACCTGTTTTGCATATATTCTGATTTTACTATAATACTTGTATTAGATAAAATGACGAATATTTTAAAGAAATCTTTATTCAAATTTTCATTAATTATTCATTTCTTTTCAATATTTCCAGTCGTGTTTTTGAAAAAGTATATAAAAACTAAGTTTTATGAAATATAGTGACAATAAATATTACACGTTACGTCGAAGCTTTTGACTTCTGTTTCTTCATTGTTTTTTCCTTAGCTTGCTCATAAAGAGGCATGAGCTTTCCCTCCTTGGCTAATATTTTTAGAATTTCCACAATCAGGGGCAAGTAATTATGTTTACGCCTAATGTTTTCCACTTGATATCCTTTTCGCTTCTTTTCTTCTTCAATTATCAAAAGGTGTAATTTTGTTAGTTCAGCCTGTTGAGAATCTGTTTCCATGCCAGCAGCCTCGGCTTGTTTATGAATTTCATCTATTTGCCTGTTGTAGAGCATTATCCTATCACTTACAAGAGCCATGAGATTGAAATGTATTTCTCCTTCGCTATATCTGGAAAAATGTTTCGGAAACTAACATGAGCCTTGAAACCAAAATTTACTTTTCGTTTGCTTACACTGGATTTGTAGATTATGTAACGCAACACATAACACAAGTAATAAAGCAAAAGAACAATTATTCATTTCAGAGATCATGCACCTCAACGTGTAACAAAAATAATAAAATTTTCTTTAAGGTTGTTTCAGCAGATAACAAAGTCAAAAAGTGATATAGAATTCGTAACTGTCAGTTAATGAAAGTAGGAATTTCGTGCTCTGATTGGTTGTCCATAACAAAATATTCCCTCGAAAGATAATGATTGTTCCAAGTTTCATTATGTATTGCAATATATTAATATAATAGTAAAAAAAAACAAACAGATGAGTTGTGTTCACAGAGAGGCATTTATAAATGAATGCTCGGTAACCTAGCACTTGATATTTTAACGCAACCGTTTGCTCTGCTTTCCGTTTCATAATCTATAAATCCAGATTCAGTTTTCAAACCACTCATCAGACTCAACGTTGCTCATCGAATTTATGGTATTTATATTGCACATAAAATTGCATATATTACAAACTGAATTTACCTTTGGATACGCTTTTCAATTATTGGTCTTGCGATATCTGTCCATTCAGAATCTGCTGGAATAGCTCCCAGATCGATGGGACCTTGCTTCAAGCCATCTAATTCATATAATCTGCCATCGATAGGTACATAACTAACAAAATGGAAAACGTCTTCGTTTTTATTTGAAACTGAGGAATCAAATTCAAATATCTGCTGCCTTGCAAATGAATTATGAACCGTTCTTATAACCTGTGAATTACTAATTGTTAGCCCCTTCATGTTGGCATCAAAACCTTGACAAAAGTCTTTCAGTTCTGAAAGGGTATGCCCCAATTTCAAATCGGTGTGGCGGCAGTTCAATAAAACGCTGAGAATAGCTTGAGTTGCACAAGCATTTTCTATTACTTGTCTAGCAAAGAATATCTTATCTAACCTACTGTCTTGTACTAGTGAGCCAGAAATGTCATCATCCTTTGTCCATTTGAACAGAAATATTAAACCATGTATTGGTCTGTAAAAAATAACAGCTATATACAACTGGTAGAGAAAAAACATTTGTAATAATCTCACTTCAATTTTTCGAACTGTTCGCCATCTAAACTCCACAGTTCTTCAACCTGCACTCCCTGGCATCCTGTAAAAAGCATAATCATCAATAGGGCACACATAAGAATTGTATTAATAATTACCGAATTCACGAATTAACTCTGTGAAAACTCCAGGATCACTTTCAATCAAACACCAATTTCCGGCACTTTCTGCCATATTTTTTGAAATTACTGTTATTGGAAAACTCAAATTACAAGCAAAAAAGATTTAACCTAAAATATGAAACATTCAGGATTGGAGGGACAGAATCATTGGTTCTTCTTCTTCTCTTTTTTTATGGTCCTTGCTTCCCTTCGGCGCAGTAGACCATAGAATCATTGGTTAGTATTTTGTGTTGGAGGTAGGTGCAGTGTTGCTAGTATGAACAAATTTTGTAAATATATAAGCGAGTTCCTAAATTCATGGAAGAGTCGTGAATCCACCAATCGGTTCGCATTTGTATTGGTTGTAACAATCCAACGCAAAGTACCATTATATGTGAAACATTTCAAAGTCGAAAATGGTCAAAAGTTTTGTAATTGATTGCCCTTCCTTTCTTTGGAAAATTTACACAGTTTTTTGTATCAAGAGGGAGTAGTAGAAAGACAAAAACTTTCTTTCCCGAATAATAATTCTAGTTTGAAATATAATTTTCGAGTTCGTGGCTATTATTCGGAGTTACGAACTGTCGAGATTTTGACCGCTTTGTTTGTTAAGTCATTGGAGGAAAATGGGCGCCTAATGTAAACTGACACGATATAGGTTTAATCAATTTATTTCCTATTTGATACATTTATAGCCCTACAGGCGTCAAGAATGAAGGTGAAAAAACTAGGTGAGAGGCGAAAGTTGACAGTAAATGAAAAAATATATGTACTTTTCTTTCAAATATAATCCACCTGCGAATTACACAACGTCTTGGCCACTATGTCACAGCAGCATGTGACAAATCAAATCCAATGACGTGAAAATAAATATAGTCTGGCCATTAAAGAGAGAACATTGACTCTAACGCCTAAAAAAAATAAGATTCATGTTTTGGCATTTACGTCGCCATACACGTAACGTAACATATGTCATGATGCTTTCGTGTTGCATATTTGCATTCGAAAATTTCCGAATCTGATTTGTCATATGGTGCTGTGGGGCAATGTCCAAAATGTATGATCCGCAGGTGGAATATATGTAAAAATGACGCCCAATTCATATCCCATAATTTTCACATTGAAAATATGCAACACGTAATACATGATAGCGGATCTGACGTTGTCTATGAGTGACGTAAATGCCAAAACTTACGTATCTCTTCATCTTCTTTTAGTTTTTGGAGTCAATGGTATTTCTTCAATGGCCAGTCCTTTTCAATTATTGTCACTGGATCTGACAGATCGAAAAATTTTGATAATCAATACAGCTGTCACCTCTTTATTTTTGAAGTACAAGTACAAATTTTGGGTTTGTATTTCCATCAAGAAAAATGGTCGATTTGCAATATAATATGCCTCCCGGATGGGACTGCAAAAAGGATGAAACTACAGGCAGACAGTACGTTAGGTATCGACAAAATTTGTATCACCTCTGTGAACACTTTGTTTTTAGTTATTTTATCAACCATTACACGAGAACAACTACCTGGGAAGACCCAAGAAATCGCCACAAACCTTTCCAGACCACTCCTAAGCAAATTTCAGGAGTTCAAACAGAATATATACCAATGCAGGTGACTTTGCATGATGAAATACATTCTGATAACTCCAAAATTAATCATTGCTCTTATCACATGCTGCTGTTGGATTTATGTTTATTTCTGAAATAGCATGGGTCCCCCGATTTAAGAAGAAACTATGTGTACCCTAGTCAGACCTCTCCTTTACCAGCATTTCAAATGCCAGCATATAGCCCAAAGATTATTCCTCTGCAGGTATTTGTAAGAAGTTGCATGCTTGTGAAGGTCTTCATAACTCTTGTTCTGTCATCTGGAATGATCTCATATAAATCAGACAGTTGTGGTTTCAAAATTTAATTTGCTTAATTGGTTTATCAATATGTATGTTACATTGTCCTCACTATATCTTTACACATGTAGTAACACATATAATTCATACTTATTAAAAAATAGATGAACAACTCTTTTTGCAAAATACTGGATACCAACAAACACTGTTTTCCGAAGTATGAAAAACTAAAATGAGTTTTTGTTTATGGGGGTGATTAAAAAATAGAACTTGATTTTGAGTTGAGTCCTTTCTCAAAAAAGTAGTTTTGTGTGCATGCAATGTCTCTAAAATTTTGTGACGATTACATGATTTGTAAAATATCATAAAATGATCACCGTATTGTATTTATGTTAACTGTTTCAAGGATATGAGGCCCCGAATGAGCCCATTGACTGTGAGGTCCCCAAAGGTTCAAGATAGTTCCTTGTCAACAACAACAGATATCGACGAAGCAGTATTGAAAATTGCTGCAATGTTCCCAACGGCTTCTGAAAGCCATATAAGATTACTTCTCAGAAAGTAAGTGCACTTCATTATATTATATGTATTAACACTGAAAGTACTGAATGAGTTGAGTTTTCAAAGTGTTTTTTTTTTCTGTAAATTAACCAATACATATTCTGGAGGTGTAAAGTAAAAATGAAGAAAAGAGAATTGAAACTTTCTATGTTTTTTACCACTTTTATTTATAACTAACGTTACTGCGGTTTCGTCCTATAAGGACATTTTCAAACTTATACATTAAACTAACAATGGTTGATTACATTCGCCCTTATATAGCACCCCTGTAGGAAATAATAGAGGTACCTGGTTTGATTGAGTACCTGAATTTTGTTTACTAGTTACAATGCAGATATGCTAATTTGAAAACCGGTGAGCAAACTAAATCGATTTGATCATTTAACAGGTTGCACATGCATTGTTTATGCTTGCGAATTTCTAAGATTCTAAATAATTGAGTTTGCAACCCTTCCTTGCATAGTGCAAAATTTCAGTATCGTTTAGATTCGGGAACTTGTGGTTGCGTGCCAAGGAATGGTTTGAAAACGTCGAATCATTTTTTCTCAGTCTGAAAGACCTTTCATGTTCAGCATACCGTTTTTGGAAATTTCGTCCGCATTGTCCCACATAAACACTATTACACTCCGGTCACTCAAGCTTATAAACTCCAGATTTCTCCAACTTGTCCACCTTATCTTTGGCATTGAAAAGGAAATCAGGTAACCTGGCATGTGGTCTGAATGCCATTTCCACATTGTTTTTTCTGAAGAAAGCTGCAATTATCTCTGTTCTTTCTCCAAAATATGTTAGAATTACCCACTTATTGATTTCTGGTTATTTGACCTGTGAGTATATTAATCTGTAAGTGAATTTACGGCTTTGTTTTCAAACTTCTGGATAGTATCTGCATTGAAACCATTATTATGACCTATCTGTGTGTAAATATATCAATTTCCCTAGCTAGATTGTTAGCAGACAAAGACAGTGAGAATGTTCTGTGCAACATTGAATTGTAGGCTGCTAATAATAATAATAATAATAATATCTTTATTCGTCTTGAGAAACACAAGGTTTATAGACATGTCAAAACAAATGGCGCAATCAAAATCAGGCTATATACATCTTAAGATTCCACAATCAATGGTGGTCATGAATTGAGAAAAAAAAAATACGAAGACATACTCATTAAAACAAATCAACATACTCATTAAAACAAATTAACATTATATGATTGAATTCGAGAATTAGATGGTAATCATAAGGTTGAAAAAATAATATTGAGATCATCAAGAATATCAAGATCGTTAAGAAGTTCAGTACAAACATTTGATTTAAATTACAATACACATACATATTAGTCAACTGGGAACACACCTATTATTTAGGTGTCCACATTGAAGGCATCTCTATTCAATCGGACACTTTCATAAAATTCATTGATATCATACAGAGGATTTTCAGTTAAAAAAAACTTCACAGAGAGTACTTAAATCTATTGAATGACAAATTGCGAAAGTCTAGTGGCAGAGTATTGTATAGCTTAAGGCCAATATTGTCAGTCCTTTTCAGTCTATTTGCTTGCATGACGATGTCTGATTTATTTCTAGTATCATGATGGTGTATGTCTGTACGATAGCTATAATTATTTATATTTAGTCGAATATGTAGTAGGTTTTCATAAACAATGACTGAATACAGTGTCATTATTTTGAGATTTTTAAATATTGGACGGCAAGTTTCATCCCATCTGGCAGAAGTTATACCTCTTACAGCGGATTTCTGCAGGATAAACACTTTTCCAGATGACATTCTGGTTCACAGATCTTTTAATTACTCTAATTGCGTATGTTGACCTACTCAGCCTGGTACATATGTTATTTATATGTTCTACCCACGATAAATGTGTGTCAATATAAACCCTTAAAAATTTAACTGCAGTTTTATCAGCTTGGTTTGAGTTTCTTGTTTCAAAAGTTGGTACTTGTGTTTTTTGTTCATTTAAAATCAGTTCATTTGATCCAAACCAAGATCGTGCTTTGTCCAGGGTATTATTTAGGGTATGTTGAGGAGTTTTAAGTTCGTCCACTGCTCTGCTCAAAGTTGCATCATCCGCATACATGGTAGTCTTAATATCTGATGAATTCAAGAAATGTGGTAGATCATTAATATATATATAAGAAAGAGAAGTGGTCCTAATATGGAGCCCTGAGGAACTCCTCTTATCAATTTCATTTTTTGACTACGACTGTCTGGATGAAAAGAATAGCTTGGAATGGTAATGTCTGTATAGCTAGGTTTTTGAAAACATTGAACTCAAATTTATTCTGATTGTGTGTAATGGTCAGGTCTAAGAAATTTATTTGTTTCTCTATCTCTGTTTCGAGTGTGAACTGAATGCTACTATTGAGATTATTCATGAACGTCATAAATTGGTTCAGCTGTCGTGTAGTACCTCTGAAACAGGCAAGAATATCATCTACGTATCTGTACCAAAAATGAATATGTTTTTTACCCAAGTCGGAATTTACTATAGTGGTCTCCAAGCTGTTCATAAATATGTCTGCTAAAAGTGGATTAAGGAGGGAGCCCATTGGTAAACCTGAATCCTGTTTATAAAATTTGTTGTTGAACTGTAGGTAGCCCTGTAAAGCTGACCAATATCACAAGCTGGTCAGTAAGTTATATTTTGCCTCATATTTTCAAATGGTACTTTATAGATATGCAGAATTTTATAATGTTTTGTCTCAATTATATTATCTATTATTATTGTTACTATATTATTATTCAACCGTCTTATTTATTATTGTACTGTACCTTATTATACTATTATTATCATTATATATAACAAATATTGTAAATATCAAAACCTATTGACGTTGCCCTGTCCATTGTAGATTTATATGGCAATAAAGGATATTATTATTATTATTATCTTAGATGAATCTGCTCAATCAGGTTGCAACTTGTAAATATCTGACACAGCTTCAAGATTAATGTCTGGGAAAAAATTAATAGGGGTTGAAAACAAATCAGAAAAACACTGAACAACCAAGTTACTAAGAAATGAGGTTTAGAGTCAGGTATTTCGGAAAATATATATTCAAAGGAAATTCATAAGTTTAATAACCAATACTGATATCACACAGTTGGGAGGTGAACAGTATCTTTCAAACTCAGTTCCAAAACTGGGTACTGATTGTATTAGGTTGTTTTCAAAAGTTTTGACGTTTCAATGTCATGTGTTTTTGTAGCTCCATATATCAATAAATATTTGTTCTACTGTGACGTATTATATAGCGATTGATAGAGAATTTTGTATTTTCAATTATTTGCAACTTCTCAGCTTATTACTTACTATATCATGTTGTGAAGAGATTTCTCTAGGAATATATTCTTCTGGAAAATTTTTGAACGTAAAAACAAATTCTCATTTGATATCTCTGGAAAATTCAACTCATATGTTACTTTTCTTGGAAGCTTTATAAATAAGCAGTTTTTCTATTTTGTTGATGATCCTTGTGTTGCTATCTTGAAAATTGCAAACTTCAGCTTTGTCATATCTTTTAACACGCATTCATTTATAGCTTTCTAACATTTTTTAGGTATAACAGCCGCGAAGCTCTTGTTATAAGCGCCTTGCAGGTGGAAAAGCATCCAATCACAACACCAGGGCCTTTTGCAACACCTCCTCCACAAAGAAATATACATCAACCCCCACTAATGACGCCGCCCCTAGGGTTTCGAGTTAACTCGAGGGGAGGCAGTCCCATATTCAGACCCGGATCGGGTACAAACAGCACCTATACAGGTTCTCCGAGAATTGGAGACAGCTTTCATAGCTCGCCTAGGCCTCATTCTTCACCAAAATTGAAACTAAGGTCAAATCATTCTGTTCCTTAAACTATGAAAGAACGTTTGAACTGAAAGTATTCTCAAGCCTTCATTTATCTTTTGCTAAATAATAAAAACGTTCTTGAATAGTTTTGTATGAGGTACAGAGAATTACCTGTGAAGAAACCCTGTAGATTTTTTAATTGATCCTTGCATGTTGCTTGGTTCTTTGAGTTATGTGATTCAATTTATTTTCTTTTCAGATTTCAGTTTCGGTTATTTTATTTATTTGACTTCCTCAGAAGTAGGCAGATAGTAGGTGTTCCAAAATTATTGTCGTCGCCTAATTTCAAATAGTTGTAGGTATATGAAGTCCGTTTTTCCACAAGCTGACGAAACTGTTATATTGGAAATTCTGCAAAACAACGATAATAGTATTCAGAAAACTTCGGATGTTCTCAAGGAAATGGGGTTCAATAAAAAGGACGCTGTTAAAGTTGCTCAGCAAAAATTGGAAGCGAAAAAAGAGGAGAAACAAATCGAAGAAGAAATTAAGGAATTAGAGCAGCCCATTCCGGAGCCCTCAATAAAAACTGCAGACGAAAAACAAAACAGTAAGGAAATTATGTTGAAATGAAAAGTATGTTGACTGAATTTGTGATTTTTTAGTAAAAATATCTCTACAGGAGAAATATAAAGACGTGGCAGAACATTTGATTTGCATTGCTTTGGAAAGCGTAAATTTTGATGAGAATAGAGCTAACCAGATTTTACAAATTATGATACAAGAGGACCATCAAGCAGCAAGTATTAAGAACACTGAGTGAGTTCAACATTACATAGAAATATTCATGTATTACATTTGACTGTCTCATTTTATTATCAGAATTCTCAGTTAATGCAAAATTAAACTTTGTCTTACCAAAATTACATTATTTCTCTTGAACATCCTTAAATGTCTTAATTCTCAGGTGAATCACGGTATTTGATTTAGAAGTTTTTATCAAAATCGAATTTATTAGCTTTCATTTTGCTTTTGGGTACAAAAATGTAAATAGACTTTCTCTCTGAAGAACTAGATCATTCGAAATTGAACATTTACTATCCTTTTTCCTATGAACCCTGTTTTTTTATTTTCAGAGTAAAAGATGATGCAGATATTCTGGATGCTCCATCAACTTCATGTGCTCCCAATTTACCAATATCTCAGAGCAGACAGTCGATAAAGTCTTTATTGAAAACAGAGAAGGAACTGGAAAAAATCTCGTACTCCAGGTAATTCTTTCAATTGCATAAAGACTGACAATGAACGATTCTGTCTTTCGTTTCAGAGTTATCGAAGAAAATGTGGAAAGTTATAGATCTCAATATTTATCCAACACGAAAGGACCTAACCCGGATTGTGCACGGGGGACCAACGAAAGCCTTCTCCTGTAAGTAAGACACTGAGCAGGAAAAATTTGAAATCAAAATTGACTGTTTTACATAGCATTTTCAATCTGCAAGACATGGGTTTATCTCCTAGTTTTTCATATAAAAAATATGAACACTTGTCGCTGAATGTCATTTTTTCATATTCATTTTCAACAAATAACTTGTGTATTCGAAAAAGAAAGTTGACATCAGTCGGAGATAACTATGTCAAAGCTATTTTTCGGGTTTGTTGGCCGTGGTCTGGAGGTTTTCATGACTACGGTGGACATTACTAAAGGTAAAGAGGCAATGGATGAATTGCTCTAACTGTCTCTACAGCAAACTCTGCATTGTTGGTTTGGGCCTCTGGTTTCATTTCAGTGATGGTGGGTCCAGCTTTGTTTTTATTGGTCGAATAACGTGACCTGATAAGTGTGCCATTCATTGCAGGTAGCCAGACTTTTGTTATGTTAATTGCTCCTTCCTTTCGGTTGAAATTGTGTTTCTGTTGCCAGTAGCAATAATCAATTATTTATTTTGATCACTTACAACTTATGATGATTTACTTTCAGGGAAGATTACGTTAAATGGCAAGGGGCTAATCCCAATTTGAAAAAAGGATCTCAGGGTCTCGCCAAAGGCCCAAATCCATGTCTTCTCTCAAATAGATCTTACCGTCCTTGTGGACCAAATAAGGATCTCAGGAAAGGACCTAAATTCGGCTTAGCTAAAGGAAGTATTTTCTCTCAAATGAAAACTGTTGTTGTTGGTCAGTCTCGAGGAAAATAGCAGAGTATCTGTAGCATACTATAAAACTTGTTGATGTGACATTTATGTACTAAATATGTTTCTTATTAGTTACCTGTCGTTAGTTAGTTAATGTTTGTCAAATCTGTCAAGATACCTGAAACTATATATAGAAAATCAAATCAACTTAGTTATAAATTATGAAATTGAAAATATCGTAACTGACCATATCTTAGGTAGTGGAAGAAATTATTTTGAGTTGAATGTGTTGTCCACATATTTCGTAGATTGATAAAAATGAAACAAGTATCATGAGAGATGATCAGAAACATCAGGAAATGAAAGTTGCAGGTGAACCTTCATCCTTAATGGCCCCCATTGTATACCTTTTTGAAAAAAATAACCAATAGTCCAGTCATATTAGTAGTTTGTTCTCGGAATAAGAGATGATGAGCTGTAAACTCGTAAACACCTTCATTTTGGTGTTCTAAGAGTTGTCTGCAAAAGTCTCATAAGGTCTTGTGTCTGCGCTGTAAGCTATTCAAGGTCAAAGGTCGCAAAAAACAGTTTTTAGCGATTATCTCTGTTTATTTAGCTCCAGTGACATTAAATATTGAAATTTTTTATACAAATTGTACAGCATGGAATTTGCGACAAATTTTGTTTGATTTTTTTTTTCATACGCCCTACAGTTTTTGAGATAAAGGGCGGAGAACCCGCAATGCTCTGCCATACCCTTTGTAATGCAAACTCAACCGAAAATTTCAGTGTATACCTTGTATTTATTTTTATTCATTTTATTGATATGGTAGCAGCTCAAAAGCTGATATGAATGTATAAAGAATCACATAGCTCATAATCTTTGCACATAATTCTCATTTTAGCAACCGTTTCATTAATATAATAGTATAATTCATATAATTTCAGATTATAACTTCTATGCGGCTAGCAATATTGTAATAATGGTATAAAAAGTGTATTACGAATACAACAGTCTTTCTGAGGATAATGTCTGATACAATATATCAATGATCACAGCGATATAACAGAGCATACAGGTATGAATCTAGTCCGGTTTTAAACAGTTCAATAGTGCCGGATTTCACATAGACGGATGGAAGGCCGTTCCAGATGTTTACTGTTCTCTTTGTGAGGAAATAAGTCTTCACATTCATTTGTGTCTGTTCAGTCCTCATTTTCCGTTTATGGCCCCTCAGTCTAGAGTTTTCCACAACTTTCGGGACTTCGCAAATCCCTGGTAAACTGTGCAGGTTGTTCATCATCTTGTACATTTCGATCAGGTCATTATGCAGTCTCCTCTGTTATATTTATGAAATATTATTAACAATAAACAATTTTTATGATGAATGCTAACATCATTGGAGCCATAGAAACCGAGATAATTGCAAAAAGCTGATTTTTGTGACTTTTGCCCTTGAATAACTTCCGGCGCAGACACGAGATTTATTGAGACTTTTGAAACACCAGAATGAAGGTATTTACAAAATTACAGCTTATGATCTCTCATTCCCGGATTGACCTTTTTTTGCATATGTGGCGGGACTATAATTAAATGACACAGTATTTTAACAATCATATCATTTATATAGTTATGAAAATGTTATTATTAAACAAATTGTCATGCGTCAAACATATCAGGAACCAGGAAAATAAGCTATTTAATTTTTTCTTCATTAAGTGAGTTAAGTGATAAACTTCTACATCGCTCAACCAATCGTGATGAAACTTGACATGTATAAGTAATTTTTCATAAGGAAGGTTCTTAGGCTATCAGTTTTTCTATAACTCGCCACTAGATGGCGCTTTAGAACAATTTTTTGAAAGCACTGTTCTATAACGCTCCGCACGCCTAAGTTCGTTGATTCTGATTCTGTCAAAACATTGGAACACCAGCGATAGCATGATAGAATAGATTTTGTTGCTCTCTTTTGTTTTACTTGTTGAATTGTGTTGAGTACTTTCAATTTTATGCATTACGTAATAAGGATTCATTTGAATAGGTTTACAAATATTATCTTCAGATTCTCGATAATAACTTTGTTGTACCGAATGGCCTAACTCGCATCCTTAGGGTGGCATTCAGAGCGAATGAACTAGAGTTTCAAGATGTCCAAATTTGAGTGTTGAAGCTTGATTGCACTGTTGAAGAACTAGGTTAATTTCCAGTGCTAACAGGGACCAACATATATTTTTCGAGTTTGGTTTTCATGAAATATTGTACACACCGCCAAAGATGGTAAATATTTTGCTCGGTTGAATTGGTTGTTTCAATTCAAAATGCCATAATTACTGAAGACTTTTACCCACAATCTGTGGTTCTAGTTGCTGCAATTTTGTTGATATTTTTAAGAATTGTTGATTTTGTGTTTATTTATGTTGTGTTGAGCAGATTACCAAGTATGTATACGTTGATGTTTTTTTTGCTAGATTTCAAATGTTTGCATAATTTTAATTTTAGTTCAAATACATATTTTTTTTGTATTGTTTATATACTAACTGTCCTGAACAATAACATATTACTTTGATTCCAAATATTGGGGACATGGAGTATGATCATGACAAGTTAATGATGAACAACAAATGTTAGTATACATATATTATTTTGCTTAATGTCAAGATCGTTCCATTCATTTATATTAAAAAAAAATGCATCTTTCCTGCGCTACATCAATAACGAATTGTGACAATTTTATTCGACAAGGATTTGATTGCAATTATGTGTTGTGTCCGCTATGCTGATTTATAAATTTCCAATAAACAATATGTTGTGAATTTTCATCAAATATGAATGATATACATCTGATAATTTCACAAAATGTTTGCGATTTCAAAAACAAGAGAATTATCAATAGTTACAGATTACTACTATTTTTCTCACTTCAATAAAAATGATGATATTTATTTCCCTTTTTCCATAAAATGTATAGGACTAAATTAGTAGCTCATTATATTAGACATTTTTCTGAAATTAAAAGAATACTTACCATTGTAGTATAATAATCAATATTATTCAAATTATGAGTATCATACTTGAAGTATATTTTCAAAGTATTTTTATAACAAAAATATAAAATTTAATATATAAGGCTTGTTATATGTTGAATATGTTGTAATATCTGGAGTCAATAAACGTTTTTCTGTCTACGATTTGGTATTTCTGAAACAAAACTCACAACCCCAACAAAAAACTATCATTTTAAATTTTACTCATCTACTTATTTGCACTTTCACTACATGAATTAGGGAAATAGGGAATTATAAAAAAAAATGTGGGAATCTTCCAAAGAAAGGAAGCCATCAATTTTAAAAATTTAACTTTATACAAAGATGTGAACATCATGCAAAAACATGTTTGAAATGAGAGTACTTTCCAATTAAAGTATGATAATGCAAACTTTTACTGAAACGGAAGGCGTTTAAAATCGGTATGCAATTTTCGCATTATCAGCCTGAAAAAGGAGTTCTGCAAATTGTACAAATAGTAATCAGAATTCCACAATAAATTTGTTAGGATATGAATGTGTCTTCTACTGTTGCGTTCTAGCTCTAGGCTCAACTACAGCAAAAATTACAAAAGTTTTCTATCGTGATTTTAAATAAGAAATTTCAGACTTGTAAAAGTGTTTAATGCTTTTCTACAAACCAAAAACTGCTAAGGGTATTGATTGGTGTCTGTATAATTATTTAAGAGGAATGAAAAAAATCAAATAGTTTAAAAATGTATCACATTTATTCTGGTTTAGTGTAACAAATGAAAATTGTATATAATACAAATATTGAACATAAAGGGTCTTCAACTTGGCTTTATAATCCCTTAAAAAACGTTTTCAAATTTCCACCTGGTTTATAAACCAAATAATTTTTTTACTTGGAAAAAATGACCATGAAAATCAATAAGAGTGCTCATATACTCCACTTCAACTTTGACGCGGGGAATGTTCTCTAGGGTAGAATTTTATATTAGGGATACCTTAAAGACAATTAATTTTGGGTTCTGAGCTTTTGTTGAATGTAAGGAAGTGCACTAACCAAACCGTTATTATGGCCACCCCTGAAAGAAGTATTTTAAAATAAAACAGCTGTTGCGGTTTCATGAAAATCTCACAATGAAGTGTTTCCTGAATACCCTATTGATTTTCATCAAGTATCAGCTATTTCCATCACATAAAATTAAAGAATTTGGTTTACCAACCAATCATTATACCTGGGGAAACAATATATAGTAATGACTGTTTCATGTAACGAAAGTATTTTTAAACTTCATCTTCATTCAACAGCATATTTGGAATACCATTATTGATGGGAAATTTCCTACCAGTTTCTGGACAGATCAGTTCCCCATTAATTATATCGACTTCGAGAAGTACATGATGGACTTTTTTCAAAAATTCGGGATTATTTTCATAGTTGCTTATTAGTTCTTTTGGTAAATCTTCAAGCTGTCCAATACTTTCTGCAGCATTATACAAAACAGACCAGTCCAGCTTTGGAATCATTTTTGCAACGAACTCTGGATTGAAATCCACCTCAGAAACCCTAACATCTGATGCCTGAAAAAGAATTCATACATGAAACATCGATATGAAATGAAAACTTTTACTTTACTCACATTCAAACCAAGAGGATACCCTACACTAACACCTTTCATACACTTGGACGTTAACATGTTATGGGTAAGTAATTTCATTTTCGATATATTAGTGATAGACAAATATTTAAGTACACAATTTAGGAATCATTCACTTTTCCGACATTTCACGTTTCGAATGTGGAAAAAATGTAAGTTTTCCTTAATGCTCATAAGGAGATTTATAACATAACCTCACTACTTTCAACTTCTTCTTATTGTATAGCCGTTGTTCCCTCTTCGGTGCATTTGACCAATTCCTTCGTGTTAACAAATTACAGGAGTTATCTCTTAACGTTGATACTACGTCAACTTTAGTCATGGCCGGTGAGCTTGACTTTTATATATCTACAAGAACCCAAATGGCATTTCAATATCTATTTATTGTTTACTCCTTAATCCGTACTACGTAAAATTGTAAACAAAAGTTTCTATACCTATTTTCCTAAAACTTTGTCATACACCGACCCAAACTTTACGCAGATACGATTTCTCCCACCGACCATGCCTCAGTCCGGTATCTGGACACAGATATACTTTCATAACGGACATTCACTACACAAAAGAGAGCCCTGCGATAGCATAATATAGCATCCACATATCTTCTTTGTGGGCGAACTTTTTCTTTTTGTATCTTAGGGAAAACTGGGCATGATACATAACCGGCTAACTGAACAGCAAATTTATATAAAATAGGTAGATGTAACAACAAAAATAGAAAACAACAGAGACTATTTATTTCTTGTGGCAATATTTAAATGCTTTCCTGTAGCTTCAAGTCAGAATTATCAAACATAAATGCCTACATCGTATCGTACTTTTGAATGAAAACTCATTATCACCCAACTTAGCGCTCATCTTGGAAAATTAAACCTAAACATATTTTGAATTTTTGAGCCTGATCAGAAACCGTTTAGAACAGAGCTGCAACACAAACAATTTGGTTTCATTACCTTAAGCTATATGAACCATATTACAATTAATAGATTTACGAGATAGCCAACCAGTTTATATTCTGAACTCACACTGCCCCTATTTATCTCAGCTCAGAAAAACGTTGGTGAAATATCGAATTGATTATCGCGATAATTCGAATTACTCCTCTTTAATTATATGGTAGTTGTTTCATTATTCAGCCGCATCTGATTTTGCCCATCACTAAAAAAGGATTCAAAATCCAGATTGAAGTGCGTAGGAATCGATTACCATCCAGGCGATGCCATAATCCGAAGAAGAACATTAAAGAAGAATAAGAAAATATTGACGTCCCAGTATTGTCATGTTTGTTACTCAAATCATAAAAACGACCAAAATGTTCGGTTGACCTTGAGAACCACGTGGGAAACGAGGTGAATTTAAAAGTTAGTGTGGAAATTGGTGTTTTTTATCAATCACTAAGCTAATTTTGTGTGAGTGCGACCCTACAAAAACATTAGTGAGTCAAACTTTCTATATTAACTCTATTGGTGCTTTAAGTTGCAAAACTTTCACTTGCTTAGCTGTGTGTAGTCTTAACAGTCGATGGGGGACGAATCCCCCGGTCCCCCTGGGGGCCATTCCTCAGATGCAAACATGACAATAGATAATACAAACCTAATATTCATAATATACAAATACTGCATGCCTCTCTTAGCATCCCTCCTTCAACCGTTCAGCCTCTTACCTTCCACGATATATTTTTCAAACATATATCACCATCTAACATACAAACCATATCCAAATTCCTGATTGCATCCAACATAAAGCTGTAGTGATCAAGACAGAACTAATACTTGTGTGCATGCAGTGCTTCGCCAATCATGACCTGATCGTAGTGTCCATACACGTAACCGTAGTGTCCACACACGTAACCGTAGTGCATCACCTCACATTAGTGCTTACACTCTAATGCAGACGGACATTGCTTGTTAACTGACCTCAAACTACAGTCGAACTTTGTTATAGCGCAAAACCAAGTGGGGTTTGGGTCCAACTCAGATCCACTTGTAGTAGCAACATGATTCTGGAACCCCTGGCTGGATAGCCCTGGCAGCTGAAGCCATTAATGGAAAAGAAGAAGAAGAAGAATCATAAAAACCCCAATTGCGCCTGAACAGGAAGCATCGGCCAATAAAGAAGAGAGAGAAATCATAAAAACAAATTCCGATTGACTATCATTACCATCACTGGTCTTACGTGAAATGTCAATAATGGTTGAAGAGGCAAGAAAATATCTTCAAGACATAATAGCTAGAATCAGCGGACTGTACTGTATTTTAGTTACAGACAGAGATGGTGTACCTCTATTAAAGGTTGCTACAGAAAAAACGCCAGAACATGCTACCAGACCCAATTTCATATCAACATTCGGATTGGCCATTGATCAAGGAAGTAAACTGGGATTGGGAAAGACAAGCACCATAATTTGCTCATATTCTCAGTACCAAGTCATACAGATGAACAAACTACCTCTCGTAATATCTTTCATCACCAGCGATTCTTGTAACACTGGACATGTGCTAGCTTTGGAAACGCAGCTGGCTCCTATAGTTTCTGACTTAGCTTCAGTAGTTGCAGAATCATAGAATATAGTCTGATCAAAAATATATTTAGATGTTGAGATTACTTGTTTTATATTACTATTGATAAAATATTTAAGAAAATTCATGTTCGTTTCACTCCCTGACCAACACTATGGGAAAATTGTTTGTGATCAAATGGTCATTTTGGAAAATCATGACGATATTGATTTCAAACTCTGAAAAATAAGGATTCATCAGAAACAATTCAAATTATATTGAGCTACTCACCTAGTTTGAAATTTGTTGTTATCAATGTGGGACAAGTAAATAACCTCGGAAATACCATGTAAATTGGAATTGGTATGTTCTGAGGGACATCTCCATCCCCAATTTGGATGTTCTGTATTTCTGTAGCTGCAAGTTCAACTTTATAACATTATATCAAAGTAATTCAGGACTTTTTCAATTACCTTCTTTGGCATATCCTTCGGCACATCCGCATGTTTCCACTCTAACGAGTTGCAACTCTATGGATCTAACAGGAACCACGCATTTGACCAACACTAGTTTTCCTCTAAAAGGTTTTGTAATGTTGCAACATACTGTGTCCAGTTGACCATTCAACAAAAAATCGGGAGCACCTTTAAACAGTGCCTGCTTGATATAACGCACTTATGAAAAAAATTACCAAATCTCAGAACACTGAGAAAATGTATAGGTTGTTCAAAAATGTTTCAGATATAAACTGAAAAAACACTTTCCCAAACACTAGAACCATAATTTTTTTTAACTTTTCTATGGCCCCTATTTCTTGTTTGTCTGGAAAATATTCTTCAAAGATCTATACATTTTCTTAAAAGAACTCATAGATATTTCTTGAACTTCTCTTCCTTTTTGGAGCTTTACTACTTTTCATATAAAAAACGAGAAATACAAAGTTTTCTTCAAAAATTTTTTTCAACACAAGCTTATCTTACCTACTCCACCTGAAGCCAGGGTTGAAGGACTGAGTGTAAAATTTACTGGAGCTCTCTTATCTTTAAGGGGTGACTGTGGACAAGCATTAAACCCAGGTCTGTACTGTACCAAAAACTGTTGACTTTTCTGCAAATCTTTCGAGAGGAAAGATCTTTTAATATCACACCTCAAACTATAACCGATGTTGACATAAACTCCGTGATAAGTTTCATATAGGACACGATTGGATTTGGGTTTCAAAGGTATCTCAAAGGGTATTTCCGTGGTACCTGAAGGCAGCCTTCCAGAATTGCTCACCTCACAAGTTACATTCAGTAATTGAATTGGCTACAAATCAATTATTATTGGAGAAATTTCAAACATCATCGGATCTTACCTTTACTGAATTATAAAATGCTTCGATGATCCCTACATTTTTTGAGCTGACCTGTAAGTTTACACATCCATCCATTGTTAGAGTTATTCCCTCATGTTTGAAATCTGAATTGCTGGATATTACTATCACTCCTGAGACATTTTCCTGAAGATACAAGTAATCATTGATACATTTATATACATGTAAAAGTACATGATAAATAGAGGAATATATTGTGCACAAGCTTGTCTTCTGGAAATACATTAGGTTTAATTTATCATTATGATTGTTTTTGAGACTATCTGGTTTACCACTACAATTTTATATTCAATGAGATTTTTTGAAAAAGTCATTAAATAGGTAAACTTGCCCCTTCACAGTAAACTTTATCAGCTCTCTTCAGTCTAATATCTAGATTTATAGACATATTCGAATTTCTAATGTAATAGAATGTAATGTAAACAAATTAAATTTGTTTCAACTTAATCACACTTAATTACAATTGTTATCAGCCTTCAGAATTCTGTATATATTATATTTATTTTTTATTGTACGCTAAAAAGCATCTAGAGACAACAACCGTCAACCATTAATATTAATAAATAGTTACTTTCATTGATAGCGCGTCACATGTGTATTATGAAAGCAAAGAACCACATTACTTTTCAATTCACATTTCCAAGTGTGAATTCACAGTAATACCTGTGAATATACACTCATTAACTGTCATCTAATATGCCAAGTGCAAAGAGTAGACGAGTAGACACAGTTATAACTGTGGTTTCACAGTTAGGTACAAGTGTGAATTCTGAACAAAAAATATCACAGATTTTTGTGTCCTTTCGACGCTTTTGTAGAGTGTCTCACTATATTTTTATTTCACACTTTACACTGCCTCTTCTTAATATAAAATAAAAATAGTCGTCGCTAACAGCTGAGGTTGAAAATTTGATCAATAAATAAAGATAAACGACCTCGCCATGGCGAAAAAAGAGAAAAGATCCTTATAAGAATATATGGAGTGTCAGTTGTACTGAACTCATGCAACTGCTTTATCATAGCTTTGTTCACTAAGGCATCATTGAAAATGAACCAGTCAAAACTAGTCCAAACCAAAGTGTAAAACTAATGGACCGCATTCGGGACTTGAAAACTGTCTGGGTATTAACTACTAGGGATTTAACTATACGACCAGAACTAAGTTGTAAACCTGCCAATATACGATGCTGGCTATCATGATGAGGGAGAGAGAGGCCCATGGACAACAAGGTAGGCAATAACGAGAAGGTGAAAAGGCAGGCAACTAATAAAAGAGATTGAAGTAATCATAAGCTGTTAAATACATTATTCCTTCCAATCCTTCCATGCTTGACAAAAACCACTGCATACAAAGTTGAATGAATGACCGCACAAAATATTTTCAGCAATAGCATTACATGATTTACAAGTCTTACAAAAGTGATGAAATTTGAAAGTGAACTCCATAAAAACAATAAGTTCCAAATCAGTTGTTATTCGTTTATGTTTGTGGAACACACTAGCGCCATCATTGGTAAAAAGTTTTACCTGTGAAGGTATCTACTTCCTTTTTTTTATTGAAGGTGTCAGCTGTAGTGTTAATCGCCATTTTGAAGTTCACTAGATTTATTAAGTTTGGTGTCTTTAGTTAGGTATATATGGTTTGGTAATATACCTAGTAATATCACTAATATTTGGTTATTTTTGGAATTGGCGCTAAAGAATGGAATCCCCAGAAGTTGAACAAGTTGATAAAGACCAAGAAACAGAATATCAAGTTATACCTGTACAATTAGTGGAGTCTTATGATAATGTTGATATCACACCATCAAACAGCTCAAACAATGTATCACTTAAAGTTAATCTAAAAGGACGATATTATAAACAAACATATCGCCCGGCCTGGGAGCAGATGCCAGATTTTAAGGGTATTTCATTTGTAATTATTCCATTGAAAATGTTGATATTCTTCCAAAGACACTTTTTGTGAAGGAGTCAAAGCCGAGTCAGTTTGCCCTTTATTACACCTCAGCAAATTCTTCAATTATCTTTTTTTTCTTCAAATTGTGCAAGAAGCAATGTTTTCTATTATTTTTAATTTTTAGGCTGGCTCAAGGGAGTTGAAGGAGAACCAACTAGAGCCTTTTGCACTTATTGCCACAAAACTCTTCATGCTCATCGACTCAGTTTATTAAAACACACTTGCACTATTAGACATCTAAAAGCCGCACAAATATATAGTGCTAAAAAGGTGAGTAGTTAAATGGTTTCATGAAGTTTGCAATAAACTATAGGAAGAAACTTCAGTAACAATAGTTAGACCGAATTAAATACTTTTACAGAATAAAATCTTACACGGAAAGAAGGAACAGGAAGTTTCTTCGAATACAGGAGTATTGTTAGGTGAAAATGATGATTTGGAATCACCCGACATGGAGGATGGTGATTCTGATCACGACAATGAAGATGAAGATGAGGGCGAAGATAAAGCTTCTCTAGAATTTCAGATGGCCCAAAAGGTGAGCTTGAGTCCCCTCATGTTTTTCAGTATTCTCTTATGGTACACTGGTGCAGCTGTAGTATGTAAGTCACATCTCTATTCATTCATGGTCTTATTCATGGTCAATAAACCGAAAAAAATAGTGAAAATTGACAGTAGAAAGAAATTTCTATCCTCGATTGCCCTCGATTGGAGTCGAAGAAGAGTCATCAGTTTATTTCCAGGGTTTTCCTTGCTCTAAAAGAAAGAATATGCCATGTGAGAAGTAACGCCCTGAATTATTAACGTTGCTCTTTTCTATTTCAACATAATTTTGACAATGTTTATCTTCTGTTGATCATTGTAAAATTTTGGTATTCATATAGGGATTTTGAGATTCATACTAGGAACAGTAAAAATTTTAGGTTGGCTTTACTGGAAACAAAAATGGAATCATTAGGAACTTTCCTATCTTCATTTCAAGATAATATCAAAGTCAGGAATTGGGAATGGCTTCGCTATATCCATTTTCTTTGAAGGCGTTTTAAAAGCAGAATTAAAAGCAGCCTTTTTTGTTATTTGCCATTGTAGGAACCTTGGTAGCCTGGAACATCGAAGAACAGTTGGAGATTTGTCTCTCTTTTATAGATACTTTCACTAGAGTTTTTCTAAATAACATTTCCAATTTTTTCAGATTGTAGAAGCCAAAAATGCCCAAAAAAAGGTTGATGAAAGGCTGTTATACTCTCGACAAAAAACTCATATCCAACCTAATGTTATACAGTCATCTGATCTAATCTTGTTTATAATAATAATAGTAATGATAGTCACCTTTGTTTCTCACGTAAATTGTACACTTCGTATTTGTGACCATCAGCTAATAAACAGGAGAAAAGAGCGGAGTTTACTTCACTCAGAGACAAGACCTCCACTGAAATGTTCTTCCACTCAGCCCCAAAAATGCTGTTGTAACTTTATCGACCTTATCGAAGTATTTGCATCATTACACATCCTTCCATAAATGAGTTTCAAGTTTATGTAGAAAAAGGAACAACGAAAAAAAAAAGGTTGGCCAAAAAGATACTTCTTTGACTCTAATTTGAATTTTGTGAACGACAGACATTCAAGTTCACATTTGTCAGCTTCATATTTGGCGCACCCCATATCCCTGATTGTTTTTTGTAGACGGTGATTTGTTTTGAAGACTGAAAAAAAAAGTTATTTCCAGGAATCCATCCTGAAATCAAATACCATCGATGTGCCGCCAATTTCAACACAGGTCACAGACATGTGCAAAGGGATACCGATAGCTGGACTGCAAGTGAGTCTTTATAAGCTGATCGATGGAAGATGGACGTACATCAATGAAGGAATCACTAATGCCAGCGGCAGTTTCTCTCAATTTCTAGAGAGAGGTGACTTTATACCCGGGAGATATAAATTACATTATGACGTTGATAGATACTTTGAGGTTAAGAAACAGAGTACAATCTTTCCTTTCATAGAAGTAAGTTCGATGTGTTGGAAAGTTCAAATGATGATTCCAGTTTTTTTTTCAGATAGTGTTTGACTGTGCCACCTTTGCTGATACTCAACATATCCCCTTGCTACTGAGTCCATATGGATATACGGCTCATAAAGGTTGAGTTCCTGGGGAAATTTGTTCATTTATAAAGTTCAGATGCAAAATTTAGAAAGATCATTGAGCAGAGTCAGTTGAAATTTACAAATATCAAAATTTACAAAATGACATTTGGTAGTGCATACTCCTTAGCATAAAATTTCAAAGCAGCAAATAATGCTGGTACTAGAAAATTAATATTTTGAAATAAAACCTCAAAGTATTCATTTTTCCCAACTACCTACATTGTAGGCTCTGGTAAATGCCTACCGGAAAACGACCACTTCCCAGGCTAACACCATGCTGGATATTGAATGGGGAATGTTCCTCAATTTGGGTTATTACAACAAATGCAAGTTTGAACAAATAGAGTTGAGTTTAATTCATGAGTTTTTCAAATTCACTTCGAAAAGTATTCAAATTGATGTTTCAAATGTTGGCTTTTAATTTTTTAAAGGGATTTGTTTCTAATTCACATATTGGCAACAGCGTCTATATCAAGTTGAAATAATTTATACGTACCTAGATATTCTAATTTAAAAAAGGAAAATTATCTTTATAAATCAACAATTGAGGCAAAATATAAATTATAGTTCGATACCACCTCCAAAAGCCACATAAACAGTTGTTTTCTTATTTATTTATATAGAGAAAAATAGCTTATGTGCACAAAATCTCATATGTCACAGAATGACTCGGAACATAAGTTAACAGAATAGCACGTCTCTGAAATATGTCATCTTTGTTTGGCTCATACAGGTAACAGATTCATTGTCCTTTATTAGCTATAACCGATGTTGCCAAATGGTGAAATAGAAAAGAATCCCTTTAAAAGTTGAATTCATTATTTCATTCCTCTTTTTAAAGTATTTAAATACATTTTTAAAGAAAAAAGTTGAAATGATGAGTTTAAAATGCGTTGTTTTAGAGCTCTTTTATGAAAACTACTTGATTTTCGTCAGGAGGAACATTCCACATTATATCTGACAGACATGCCTCACAGAGTTTGGTCTTGCATATGATTCTTCTTCATCCAACAGCAAGACCATGCTAAGATTATTTGAGAAGATCACCTGTAGCAGGGATTTACCAGAATCTACGGTGTAGTAGTTGAGAGAGATTTAATTTCTAGTATGTATCTTTCTTCGATATTCTTCATAAACTGTTTGATCTCTGTTAAATGATGCTGGTACTGTAATATAATATCAGGTACTAGAGTGTGATAATTTTTACAGCTTGAATATTTATTGCTACAATTCTGAAATATCAGTAGTGGGTTCCATATTAAATCGGCTGTAATTATCCAAATTTTTTATATTGAGAGGAATGAATTTTAAATTTCTATACATCTGTTCATTGGATAATTCAGAGATTAGTTTCTACTTACATTTGGTGAGTGAAGGTGATTATTGCTAATTTGTCTGGTATTATAAGAATATATACTATTCACATAACTGAAAAAACGATTGCATTTTTGTTAATTTGTTGTAACCTTCTACAAGAAGTTTGGTTTATTTTTAGAATTATATTTGTTTCCTGGTAAATAGTTTTTGTTGGAATTTGATATTTTGTTTTGTGCAGTACTTGTTTTAGAAGTTTTTTTACAACATATTCCCAAAGTTGTAACCGGATATCAAAGATTAGAAATAAAACGTTATATACAAGTCTGCTTTGAGTTTTCAGATATTCTTTACACTTGAAGAGGGCACCAATAATTGGCAGTGTTTTGGATATCACAAGTTCAATATGTTTTTCCCGGTTCAATTTGTCATCTATCTCGTTTAATTTCTCATAACATCATTCATGGAGTATTAATAATAGATTTTCCATTGGAATTTCCAAGGGTAATTTACACATTGCATAGCATAATAATATCTGCGTGGTTTGCTACAATTACCCCACGCGTTCGACATATATCGTATCATTACTATCAGAATCCGTTTGATTTTATAAATCACATATAAAGAGCATTTCTGACTAATGCAGGTTCTTTTTTTCAAGTTGTTGAACATTGCTTCAAATGTTTAACAAATATTTATTATTAACTTTCCATTGTACATTAAATACCGAAAATGGTTGATAAAGGTTCAAAAATATTTATATAATGGAGAGTTATTTTCAGTTAGAAAAGAGATTGAGAATCAATATAACTTATATTTATATCATTACATAAAACTAATTCACATTAGTATACAGCATGTGATGTTAGGTTTACATGAATACTGCATAGTCTGATTCTATTCATTAAAATGAGTTATTATAAAAATTGAAAATAGTGTTTTATTTTATTTCGGTCTTTGAAAATGTATCTCTTGATCCTCGTTGAGGGATGTCATTCCCAATCCAAGCTAAAACAAAAAGAATGAACAATTTCAGTTGGTACGTCAAGAAGTACTTCGTAGGCCCGGATCTAGGAGGGGGGAGGAAGCCGGGGACTATGGACTTTGCCCCGGGCGTCAAGTTCAGAGGGCGGCCAAATTCACACTTTACAGTTGAATAGACAACTCATCATTTACTTAACTTTAACGTGTACTTGGCACGAATATTATTATTCACGAGGCAGGTTAGGTTAGGTCCAAAGTGAGAGGGTCTACTCGCCCCTCCACCACAACCCGCAAGGATTTATTGTGGCTCGACCAAATAAACCCAGCTTCTTAACGAAGCCGATTAGTTTGTATGGTGAGTGGTTTTTCAGGTCAGATTCTGCAACCGTTTTAGGAATCACACGTTAAAAGGCAAGACCTCGTTAGTCCTTAGCTCGCACAAGTTTCTCAACTTCTGAGAGTTGTCGTTCGTATGGGGGCGACAGCTGATTAACGGAAAAACAGATGGTAAGACTAGGGCTCTGCCGAACTCTAAAAACCTGATTCGATCCCCAGCGGGGCAGGTCCAAATTATATGCTCTGCTGTATCATCATTAATAAGGTAGTCGAATAGTCAAGGTGCAAGATTCTCACCTTGATACCCGCGACAACCTTCCCATAAGAGGGTTTATGTACGTCAGCTACACCTGACGTTGCCTTAGATTCAACCGTGAAGGGCTTTTTTTTTCGCCTCTGCATCACTTTCACAATGGAGAAGAAAATCCACAACGAATTGCCTTTCTTAGACGTATTGGTGAAGAGGGCCGACACTAAATGGGAAACATCTGTATATCGAAAAACCCACTCACACAGGACAGTATCTGAACCAGAAATCCAACCACCATCATTCGACTAAGAGAGGAATCATCAAGACTCTACTAGACCGTGCTTTTGGGCTCTGTAATACAAAGGAAGGTCTCGAAAAGGAAGTAGGCATCATCAAAAATGACCTTCAACGGAAAGGTTACTCCAAAGTGATGGTAGAACAGGCCTTGGCTAGAAGACAGCAAGAACTCCACAAGGAAGAGGAGTCGCCACAACCAGTACTTGTACTTCCCTACATCAGACGATTATCGAAAAGGATAAGACGGATTGGGTCCAAGTATAACATCAGGACATGCCTTAGATCTGGGAACACTATGCGTAGCAGCCTCACGAAAACCAGGCCACCAAACGCGGACTGCGTTTCCAAGAATTGCATTTACCGGATACCCTACGAGTGCGGAGAATCATACATCGGTGAAACTAAGAGGCCATTGAAAGTTCGCATTGCTGAGCACAAGAAACACACACAGCGAGGAGAAACCAGCAAATCCGGAATAGCAAAGCATGTTTGGACTCATCAACATAACATCAAGCGGGCTCAAGCTGAAATCATCCACAAAGAGAAACACTGGTTTAGGAGAAAATTCTAAGAAGCCGCGTATATGTTGTCCAACAACGCATTTAGTCAAGCTAGCGTAGAGATACGTAACATATGGAAACCTCTAATCAAGCGAAAAACGACCAACTCCTGCTAAACGGTCATCTCCCGCTAAAACCAATGAAGCGGGAAGAGGGGATAGGTGAAAGCACTCGAATGACCTATAAGTAGTCAGATCTCGGAGGAATAAGTCCAGTTATTACCCGAAGACGATTGTGGATACTAACAATCGAAAGTTCGTGACATAATTTGGTTTGAAATCTTTTAATTTTTATTTTTTCATTTTTTGTTAATAATATTTTTAATATTCAGCTTTTATTAATATTTCATGACCGGTTTGCTTAACCCCCACATCGCCCAAGCCAATGCACTCACCAATTGGATGACAGTAAAAGATAGATTACAATATTTTTCTATGATATTCATATTCAAAATACTCACTGGAAAAGCACCACATTACTTCAATGAGTTTATTACATATAACCATCAGATACACAGATAATGAAAACAAGAGAAATGAAAATTTCTATGTTTTTTACCACTTTTAATTGTAAGTGCAGTTTCGTCCTATATGGACATTCTCAAACTAATACAATACACTTATTGTACAATAAACTTATTGCATTAGTTTGAGAATATCCATATAGGACGAAACTGCAGTAACGTTAGTTACAATTGAAATTGAGAAATTTTCATCTCTTTTCATTATGATCTCCTACCACGTAGTAACGGCTACATCCATCAATTTATAGATACACAAATACGATACAAGAGGAAGAGATGACTTGGTTGTCCCACGAACTAACCTTGCAAGAACAATGAATTCTATTTTCACAGAGGACTCTTGGACTATAACAAGCTTCCTAATGAAATTAAACAAAGTACCACTCTTCAGACGCTCCTTGTCTCAATATCTACGGGCACAATACTATTCCAATTGAGTTGTTCATCATTCTTCTCTCTATTAATCTCTTCATCATCTACTACTGCCACAGTATTTCTGTATACAGTAGTTTCACTCAGCGTCGGTNCCCAACATGGTTTTCATCGACTGTATTTTTTTGAGCAGTTTATATGAATATTTGTTATGTTGAGCAGTGTTTAAACGCTTTGATTGCATGCCTGTCTTAAACTCGTCGTTTGCGCAGACCTAAGACATCGACGCGTGGGTCTGCGCGTAGGAAAATTCAAACCACAAATCAGCCTTTATGAAATTACTGTATACAAAATACTGTGCTACTGCTATGTTTTACCCAATATATTCCATTATATAGGGTCTTATATATTTCAGTTTTTTTGTAATTCTGTTCAATAACTGATATATTTGTATAATATTTATGTATATTAGGATATCTATTTCAAATAAATCTATTTCTAAAAACAGCATGCACAGTGGTTTAGGTAGTGAAAGATGAACAAGGACAGCCAATCCGCCTCGCGA